CTGTCATATAGACAAACAAAGAAGAGAGTGTGTCTTCTTTATCTGTATTCACATTGGCTGTGTCCGAATGTGCACATGTTTCCCTTTATAGTGTACTAGTAAAGGGTTACGCCATTTTGTAGGGCAGTCCGAATGTCCAGAAAGAACAAATGAAGTGCACTCAAAATTACTCACAATGTACTTCTAAAAGTAGTGAGTATTGATGGTCAATCCGCAAGTTAATATAGATCACAATGATTTGCGAGTTCGAAAACAACATGGTGCAAGCACGAATATCAAGGTGATACGGTGACTACACGCCACAGAAATAATTCATTTAATTGAACTGAAAATACTGTATGTACATCAAAAAAAACAAAATACAGTTTTAAATATCTATATATATATATATATATTTTTTTTTTTATACAACGCATCCGTCGTTATTGTGGGTTTGGCTGTCACAAATTCAGCAAGTATTGCTTTTCCGTTGTCATGGTGCCCGATAACTATGCCGAAGTGAGTTGAAGAGCTTCAATGAACCAAAACGTGGTGTTTTTGTGGCATCTTGGCCCGAAAGAACTTCGTTGAGACAAAATTAGTTCAAATTGGTCCGGATGTTGCAGATTTTCACCTTTTGTGGTTTGGTCTCACTGTCATTTCTGATTTTGAGGGTTTTTTTTTGTTGTTGTTTTTTTTTTTTTTAACTCTCCAGAGTGTGTGGATGTAAACGTAACCCCAGACAAGCGTCAGATTTTCCTTCAGGAGGAGAAACTCTTGTTGGCCATTCTGAAGTCTTGTCTCATCAGCATGTTTGAAGCCGGTGTCAATAAAATGAGTGTAAACAACGCTGTCATCCCCAGCAGCGGTAAGATGGCCTGATTTTATTCAGGAACTTCGAAAGAATTGTCCGTAATACCATCCGTGGCTTTAATTTTTTGCAGCGCCTGCATCCAAACCATCTGAAGAGAACATGCAGAAATCTGGAGACAATACAGGACTAGAGATTGACAACCCAAAGTCATCCCTGAACTTGGCTGGTCTGAAAGCTGCTTTTTCAAGTCACCGCAGCTTCAATTCTGGTGTCAATTCCAACACGTCAAAAGCTGCCAATCACGGCCCGGCGCAACAAACCCTCAAGTCTTTCTTAAAGGACACTGGAAATCCAGGTGTAAAACCTCCTTTCGGACTCACACGTAGTTTAAAAACAGGCTACTCGGCGGGGAGGTCAGCGCTGGATGGGTTCAGGTATGGCAAGGGGACAGCGTGCACCGATATTAACTCCAAAGACATTTTTCTATCCAATTTGGACAACAATCCTTCAGCAGATAATCCGAATTGTGATCGGCACTCGCCTACTTTTGATGCGGAAGAACCCAGCATAAAAAAGGAAGCACTGACAGAGACAACAACTCAAGTCCACAAAGCTCTCCAAGAGTCACACTCGCAACCCGAAGCAACTACTCATAGTGAGGGCAGCTCAGCGAGTCCAGATTTGAAACGAGCCAGGAAAGAGAATCCGGGCTGCGCGGTGGATGCGCCGGTCAGCTTACAGAAGAGGGCGGTGCCGCTCCATTTTACGTTGCAAGAACTGACCGGGAAGATTAAGAGGTTACGGGACCAAAAGCAGAAGCGCGAAACCTGTGAGGAGCTCCTCTACAGACGCTTTAGAGCCAAAATTAACCCGGGAGAAAGCCAACGTGCAGAGGAAGAGCTGAAGAAGGAGATCAGGTAGACTCGCATTGTAAACACCATTTTAAACGCGACAACATTGTTATACTGCCCTCTGGTGGACAAAGTGCACACACTACAAGGAGCAGCACAATGTCCACTATATTGATGCTAAAAAAACATTGCACTATTTATGCCAAACCTACAGTCAAAATCTGTGTTAGTGAGCACTTCTCCTTCAATAGCATCATTATGACATGTGTGCCTTAGGCTGCTCAAAATAAAAAGCCTAAAATTTGAATGGAACATGCGTAATACGTTTTGGGGCTTGTCTTGCACGTTTAAAATTGATGAGCTTCCGTTGTGCGTCTCTCGCCGCCCAACAGCAAAGACATGTTCAAAGAGATGGAGATTGTGGGGCAGTTTAATCTGGGCTTCATCATCACCAAACTCAACTCGGACATCTTCATGATCGACCAGCATGCCACAGATGAGAAATACAACTTTGAGATGCTGCAGCAGCACACGGTGCTCCAAGGGCAAAAACTCATTGCGTAAGAATCCAAACGTTTACTTTTTATCATTGTATTTGTAACTCGCGCATAAGTATTTCTTCCAAAAACAAATGTCAGGAAAAGCCTCCTAGAACATCCGAACTGGATTTGAGGTTTATACCACTTTTGTCCCACACTGTATTGTATTTCTATATATTCGTTCTATCAAATTGGATCGGAGTAGATTGTGCCGTTCCAAGTATTGTAGTTATATATACTCTTTATTTTTCAGCCCTCAAAAACTTCACCTCACCGCAGTCAACGAGAACGTACTTATGGAAAACATCGACGTTTTTCGAAAGAATGGCTTTGAATTTCAGATTGATGAAGATGGTACAAACACGATTTTGTATTTGGAAGTTTAAAAAAAAACGATTTCTAGTTTAGTAATCATATTCAACCATTTTCCACACACGCTGTCAATGCAGCTCAGGTGATGGAGAGGGTCAAGCTGGTGTCTCTGCCCACGAGTAAGAACTGGACATTTGGTCCAGCGGACATTGAGGAGCTGATCTTCATGCTGAGTGACAGCCCGGGGGTCATGTGTCGGCCATCACGCGTCAGGCAGATGTTTGCCTCCAGAGCTTGTCGGAAATCTGTGAGTTTCGACGCCCCGGGGTGTTCCCGCTATTTGTCTGATTAGTTTACAGTTTGACGTATGATGCTGTCTGAATCTGTGTTAGGTGATGATTGGCACCGCGCTGAGTACAAGCGAGATGAAGAAACTGGTGGGTCACATGGGTGAGATTGAGCAGCCGTGGAACTGTCCTCACGGGAGGCCCACCATGAGACACCTGGTCAACCTGGACATCATCTCGCAAGACTGATCGAGAACAAGAGCAGTGCTATTTAAAGAGTACACAGGCCCAAGTTCACCTGATGAATCCAAAGTTTTTTTCGATCCTGTTCAATATATATATATTTTTTTTTTACTCGTAAATTCCGTTGAGATGTTTCAAGTGTTTTATGTCAACACGCGGTATAGTTTTATTCGCGAATAAACATTATGTCAGATAAACAATGTGTACTCTATTTTTCCATATTTTAAAATCTGAATTCTCGAACCTAGCTCACTTGCTTTTAACTGGTGTTGAAAGGTTTTTATTTTCTGCCACAATATCAATTTACACTAATTCAGGAACGAGAAACATTTAGTTCATCTATTAGCCACCAAGTCATGAGTTTGTTTCCGCAAAATTTCATTTACAAGCCAAATACAATCAAAAGTCATTGTTCAGTCTTACGATATTTGAATATATTCAAAAGAATGAGGCATCCTCTCCAATCGTTCCACTTTGCCTCATTCAATATGGCTGCCCTTTTGACGTACAATCAGCGTTGACTGCAGCGCGGAAGCTACGGTAGCTTCTAGTTGCCACGGAAACCAGTTGTTTATTTTTTGTTTCGCGTTCTTCGGTTACACTCCGCACATTTCACTTTTGAACACACGTTGAATAGAAAATTACATTTTTTTAACAATGCCAACACAATGGTGTATTAATATTAATGATTTTCAAAATAAAGTCGCATCGCGATGCTATACGGGAGTCCAAATTTAGCAAGTTATTCTGCTGCTTCGAAACTGACGCATCACGACGACGACGAGCAGCACGACGATGGCTTATTTGAACTGCCTTCGTTCTTTGTTTTAACTTTTCAGAGGTAAATTAACTTTCTTTTGTAGATTACTATTTTGTACGGAATAGCACAACAGGGAATGAAAGCGGTCACGGCGTCTCTGACAGATATGAAGGCGAAACAAGAGATGGGCTCTTCCATGGGAGAGGGACTGCCAAGTTTAAAGGCGGTCATTCTTATAAGGTAAAAAAACAAATAAAGTCATCAACTTTTTTCTGAATTAAATCAACAATTGACATTTTTTTAACTGAGCTACAATGTGAGTTTGCCTCACTTATTAAATAATGGTCATAAAATCTTGTTATGTCAATCACAACACTACAACGGGTTTGCATTTAACATGAAATATTTTTACAGTTGTCTTTCCGCCTAAAGCGTGTTCCTCCTATAACGTGAATTTAAAAAGACAATATGAAGCTTGAGCATTGTTTTGTTGTTGTTTTGTTTTTTTGAAGGGTATGTTCTCCATGGGAGTCATGCAAGGAACCGGGGTCTTCACATGGGCTGACAAAGTGACATATGAGGTAGGATTGTATAAAAGGGGGCAAAAAAATAACCAGATTAAGATGCGTTACATTTCTCGGCAACAGGGAGAGTTTGTTCACAACATGCCGATGGGCCAAGGCAAGTACATTTGGCCAGACGGCAGCTCTTATGAAGGCGACGTGTGCAATGGCGTCAGGCATGGCAACGGAACCTACAAAAGCGGCAATGCCACCTACAAAGGTCAATGGAATCACAGCAAGCGGCACGGAAAGGTAACACGCGACACTCAATATGATTACATTGAGAAGGAGATGATGATTATGACTAGTCTTTGTTTTGTTGTTTCTCATTCTTGTTAGGGCACTGTGTATTATAACCAGGAGGAGACTTCTTGGTACAAAGGCAACTGGGTGTTGAACAAAAGAGAGGGATGGGGAATAAGGCGGTAAGACTGTCGGTGTGAATATATTCAGTGGCAGGAATGAACAACATTGCAAATACTTGGTTAACTAGACGAGAATAGATTTAGCAGATTTCTGTCCGTTTTATTTTACTTGCAGTCGCTAAATTTGAAATATTTGTCATTTCTGCGTGGCCTTTTTTTTTTCGAACAGCTACCCTTCCGGTAACATTTATTTTGGCGAGTGGAAGCATAACTTGAGGAATGGCGATGGCACCATGAGATGGCTGAATCAGGGACAGGTCTACATTGGTAACTGGCATGACGGAGTCCAGGTAGAATATGAAAATATGACATATACAATTACTTTTTAGTACTTTTCAGGGGGCCGTATTCACCTGATAATTTTTCTTCACCGTCAAGCAAGGCCACGGTACACACGTGTGGCTCATGAAACGGACTGAACCCGGAGCTGAATTTCGTCCCAGTAATCAGTACACGGGGAATTTTTTCCATGGTTACAGACACGGACCGGGCATCTTTTACTATGCTGGCGGTGCCACCTATGAGGGTGGATGGCAAGACAATAAAAAACACGGGAAGGTGAATTCAATATTTAGTTTTCTTGTTTTGATCGCTGCTGTTTTTTGGATTCTCTCTTTTTTTTTTTTTTTTATACAGTAATTATCAATATGAATGTATATGGGACATTATTTACGGTGTGAATAATGTCTCTAGCTAGCTAGCTACAATTGTGCCTATGTACTTCCGAGCTACATAACGAGCAAGCGAGATATTTTTTGACATACTGACCTTCAGTTTGACTGACAAATAGCTAGCCATCAGTTAAACTGAAGGCCACGCATATTTACAAAAAGGGTGAAAAGGCGCCCATTTTGTATTTATCTTTAGGGAAAAGTTACCCTCAAGGACGGCTATGTTTTCCAAGGACAATTCCTCAATGACAAGATGGTGACCCCGATCATGACAGCAAACCAGGCCCCCGTTCTACTTGGTAGATCAACCTTTGCACATCATTTTAATCAGCAATAGTGATCTAGATAGATGATAATGCATGGATGAATATTACAATTAGCTTTTTGTGTCATGGGCATTTCCCGCATCAGGTACGGACGAATCTTCTCTTGGACCAGACATGACCGTCAACATAGATTCTATTTTGGAGAAAATACCTCAGAGAAAACGAGACATTGAGCACAAACAGGTCAGTGCCCAATTTATGAGCACGTCTGTGACAAAAAGCCCTTTGTAAAGATAGTAATGATCGATTTGAATGACAACGAGAGGCTTTTGCCACCATTGCATTTCAAAGTTAAATAAAAATGTTATCTGAATGAATTTTGAAAACAAGCATTTTCACAGAACTAAATACATTGTATTTAAATGAAATACAACTACTGTACTGGATTTAAAAAGTTGAAATCATTGTACCATTGAACATCCAAGTCAGTGATTCTTTCCTTTACCACGAGAGGAAGCCCACCTACCGTTGGTGGTACTCGTGCGTTGATGATGCCTGTGATGCTTTCCTTTACCGCTAGAGGGAGCCCACGTACCGTTGGCGGTGTCGTGTGTTGAAAATGCCTGTGATGCTTTTCTTAGCCACTAGAGGGAGCCCATGTACCGTTGGTGGTACTCATACGTTGAAGATGCCCGTCACTTTACTGGAATAGATGGAAAAACAAAGATACATTATTTGTCATCAATAAATGATTTGCAGACCAATCAAGTAAAATTGGATCATTTCCCACCTTAATTCGCTTTAGAACGCTATGATGTGGTGCGCTATTTCTTCATGCCTGCCGCTCACATGTTGTTCACTGAAACAGGTGCGGTTTGTTCTGCTGAGGCACAAGACGGAGCTGAGGTCCATCTATCGTTTCTACAGCCGACTCGGTCAACCTCAGATTCCCGGCGGCGCCTTCCTGCTGTCCCGCATGCAGCTGTGGCGCCTGCTCAACGACTGTTACGTCCACCATCACGGCGTCTCCTTGGCGGAGCTTGACCTTTTCATACGAGGTGAGAGGTGTATTTGGCAACAGTCAAAAAGCAAATATGTCAAGGATTGGCCGATGCATATAAAGTGTCCAATTTTAATCTGATCAGCGCAGGAACTTGTTCACTGATCCGTGCCGTCGCTGATCAACTCTCCTTTTGTGTCAGATAACCCAGACCCAGCCGAGGTTCACTCCCCCTTTACTCCCATCATGCTCAGTCGGTTCCTCAGCTGCCTCGTGATCGTCGCCTACCACATCCACCACAACGACATGGAGTAAGCAATCGAGTAGACATTTGCTCCGTAGTGGAATTATTTTTTTTTTTCCCTTACCCAATTCTCATCCTCTCGCAAAGTTTTTACAAACAAAGCTCCAAAGTTTTAAATGTACAGTGGGAAAAAAAGTTCTCCCTACCAGCAGTCATTTTTCTGAAATGATGAGGACTACTTTTCTTGTTGCAGGTCATCAAACCACCTTCTGGCTGCGTGTTTCGCTAAACTATTGATCGATGATATATTTCCGAATGCCAAGAATGTAAAAGGTAGGAAGAAGAAATCAAACATGAATGGAATATTCTGTTATTTTTCCATCACGAACAGGAGCTAAACTATCTCAACGCTCGTCTGTCCATAAATTGGGATTGACCATTGCGGGGTGTCCCCCCAAAGGTTTCCTTTTTAAGCCGCCAGAGCGCACAATTGTGGCTGTGGACTTCCTTGTGAAATGCTGGAAGGTATACCGGGCCTACTGCAGGGTCAACAAAGCACCCAGGGATGACAGCACCATGACAAACCGCCACATACTGTGGCTGTATCAGGTTCACGCCGTTATCATCCCCGTATTTTCTAAAGCATTTGAAAGCGCACGAGAGTTAACATTTGTTTTCCCACGCTAGGATCTCCATCTTTACGACAACGATTTGACCATCGTGAGGGTCATCGATATCATCTGCGCAGAGACCCTGGATCCCAGCAACCGGTCCGCCTGCATGGAACATGAGGTAGGCGCTTTGTCCAGTGGAATCGTTGACGTATACGGACTAAAACGTACGTACGGATTTTCCTGATGCTACAGATTACGTTCCTGGAATTTTTCGAGGTGCTTCTTGGCTGCGGCGAGGTGAAGTGTCAGCAGGTCAGAGGTTTTTACTTGTAAGAAACACTGACTACATAAAAAAAATTATCTTGAATTGTACGGCGTAAGAAGTCACAGTAACAGGCCAGATGACATTTGCTCAACAGATGACGGGTCCTTATCCCAAGATAGGACCGTCTCGATCATCTTCAGGTTTGTGTATTCACAATACACCTGAAATTTTCTCCAGCGCGTATATAAAAGGTTCTCCTGTGCACCTTCTAAATGTTTTTGACTTTCTCCAGCGCTAGCGCGTCAGTGGCAACAAACGCTGGCCCAAGACCGTGAAGTGGATGCTTGGAGTCATAAGATCCATCACTTCTTCAAACGCATGTTCTTCCCCGCCGTTGACCTTCTCCGCTTACTCTGACCGCCGTTGCTCGACGCGACAAAAGGCGACTCTTGCTCCAATTTCAAAAGGAGCAAACTGTCTCCACGACGCTCCGGATTGGAAAATATTTGATAAAGCGTTTCATTATATCACGAAGACTCCTTTTTTTGACTACAATTTTATTGAGGGTAAATCATCAAACGAGTTACAATATTTTCAAAAATAAAACGGCAAATATTTTTCTGAGGCGGTGGGGGGGGGCTGTTCCCTTTTACAGAATAACAAAAGGAGAGATTCATAGTTACAGTGGCGGCGTGAAGTACATGAGGTCACTGGGGCAAACAGACTGCCGGATCCTGTCCTTGGGGTTCGGCGTGAATAGAAACAAGGACGCCTCTGCTGTCTCAGCCTATAAAATATGCAAAATAAACATGACGTGAATAGGAAGAAAGCAAGTTGCGGTCGAGGCTTGTGTCAATTTGAAAGAAAAGTTTGAACCTGTGGTGGCTGTGGGGTTAATGGAGAAGGTTCTTTGGTGACAGTGAGCAAAACTGTGAAGGGGGAAAAAAAAAAAAAAAAGACACTAAACCAAGAGTGTACCAATACTTGAAGTGCAGCGACCCCCGCCCCCAAAAAAAAGTGATCCCCAGTGCAGTCCATAATCCAAGAGATAAATTAAAGAGCTGAGACTATTACTCAAAAATAAAACTCAAATGCTCATGCATCATATATGTGCGTGCGTGTGTGTGTGTAAAATCATGATACCGTCTTCCTGCAGAGTCAGATGCTCAGATTGAGCTCTGGCGGCCGCTTCCAGCTGCCCCCCGCCCAAAGCTGCATCCACAAGAAGGGAGAAAGGAGCGGGGGCGTCAGCATTTTCTCTTTGGAAGGGCAGAGAGGTGGCGGGCAGCGGCTCCGGGGAACATCTGGAGCTTCGGTGGCCAGGGCGGCAGAGGGGGGTCCGAGTGCCCTTGGACTGGGCGGGGCTTCTGACGGTCTGCCCCAATGCGAGGGAGCGACGACTGGCCCTTCTTGGAGTCGAGTGGTTGGTGAGGGGCGAGGCGTAGGGCGGCGCCGCGGCACCCAGGCGGCTGGATCGCCTCACGCCACCTGCCGTCGACAGTTGGAGTGTGAGGTCGGCAGTGGTGGGATCACAAAAATGAGTACATGATATGAGTATTTTTGCCACCGCTGTATTTCAACAACAATCCACACCTCGCCGCGGAATTTCTCGCAGGCTTACCGGGAGTCTTGGCTGGGCTCTCCACACAGAAGAAGCCCCCATCAAAAACCACCACGTCAGACCGACGCGGCGCTCCTCGAGAGGACGGGCGGGGCTCGCCGTCAGTGGCGTCACCTGCGGCCTTTGCGGCCTCGGCCGCCTTCTTTTGGGCTCTCATGGCCGCTTTCACCGCTGCCAGGCCGGACCTGGCCCCCGCGTTGCTTCCTGTTGGCTTGGCAGGCGCTGGTGCGGGTTTCTGCGGCGACAAAAGTTTTTCAAAAACTGGATATATTTACCGCGAAACAGGGTGACCCCTCAAACGGGACTTCCAATTCGTCACCTTGACCGTTTTCTTCTGTCGGGGTGACGGCGGTTTGGGTTCTTCCAGCCAGTTTCGCGCCTCCGCTTCTTTGAGGGCGTCAAACTTCCTGTGAACGTCTTCCACCTGGCAAAGAGTGGCGGTCATCTTTCAGCGCCATTTGGAAACAAGCGACGGCGCTCGTACGGAGGACTAACCTGGAAGTAAACCATGTCCCAAAAGCCTTCCAGGTCGCTGCAGGTGGTGAGCTTCGCCCCTCGGCGCAGCTCGCAGTCGTCCACCAGGCCGCTAAACTGGTTGAAACGCTCTTTCATGAGCAGCCTGGCCTGGCCCACCGTTGTACGCACGCGGCCTCGCACTGATCACACACGGAGGGGATGTGGGCGTTGTCTCATTTGCGCCAAAAAAACGAACCCGCGCGGAGCGGTCGCTTCACTCACTTTCCTCAGGGATGGACTCGTCTTCCCCTCTTGTCTGCCACTGATCACACAAAGATGTCAATCTGTCCGACTCGTTGGCCAGCTGTGACCTGGGCATCGTGAAGCAACAAAAAAAACATCCACGAATTGACAAAAGCGTTTTAAGATTTGAACAACTTCAAATTCAACAAGCTAACCTGAAGTATGGCACATCGTGCTTTGGGTGAAGGGGGCCGCTCGGCATCGGAGAACCCGCCGTGAGAGGAAGAGGAGGAGGAGGAGGAGGAGAGCGGCGCGGAGAGGATCGGCGTGGCGCAGCCTGACGTTCGCGTTCGAGTTTGGCTTGTGAGCGCGTCAAGTACGGCGACGCGGACATCGGCGCGAGGAAGCGATCAGCCGAGCGAGGCGTGAGAGGCACAAAAGAGAAGGCTTCCAAGCCGGCGGGAGCCTGGAACACAAAGCCCTCGGGAGCGAACGAGGGCGGCTCGACTCGTCCTTTGTCCACCGCTGCGGTCTCCTCCTCAGAGCGAGTCGTCAATTTGAGTTTCTCAAATTCCTCCTCTGGCGCCGGATTATCCTGCTCCAAAAGCGAGTTGCGAGAAGAACCAAGAGAGACGTGAATTGCGCTGCCGGTGAAAAAGCCAGATTCCATTTTTTTAAAAACGTGACATGCGTCAGAAATGCTCACTTGGGTCACAAGAGGATGTTCGGCCGGGTTGTCGTCGGCTACCAAAAGATGCATAATAGAGCAATTAGTCTCATTCGAGGAGGGGACCAAACGAGCATCTCGTCTGTCCAAACGCCACAATGGTGCACCTGTGCAGTTCCTTTGGCTCGCAGAGGCCCGTGGCGAAGGGGAAACAATGGCTCTTCTCCTTGTGATTCTCTGATCTACGTGAAATGAGTATCCGTTGAAACGATGACATTTTCTCGATTTAAAGTCGCAAAGGAGCCTGGCATGTCATCAATTCTGAATCTGAATCTGAATTCATACCTGGCAATGTGTCCTTTGTTTGGTTTTGGACTGCAGGGGGCGCTGTCACAGTCCTGTTGGCCGATCTGGTCGAGTGTCCTCTTCCAACGGTCCCCACTACGAAACAAATCGGGAAAGCCAATGAGATTGGGGGGAACAAGCACAATAAGTTTGACGACATGCTTTGTGGTCGTCACCGGCACAAATTTCTATTTTTTTTTTTTTATCCAAACCTGACGCTGCTTTGACAGAAATGGCCCTGGTTGATGTCTGAGGAGCAGGTGGATCTGAAAAGAGGGGAATAAAAAAATATTTGCAGTCACAAACTGTTTAGAAACACCAAACACCCAATAATTTGCATACATATATGAAAGAAGTATTTTGTTTGATAAGTTCCCTTTTAGGAAAATAAGAATGTACCTTTCTTTGCTGCCGTATTTGAACGGAGCGTCTTCAGAGGCTGCGCAGTGTGAGGCACAAGAAAGGTACGATGACGCAACGTTGTGTGAGTAACGACTCTAATCTGACCTTTTGAAAAATCTGAAATTAGATCGAGTCGCACCTTCTGCAATTGCTGCTGCTGCTGTTGTTTCATTGAACGGGTGACTCTGCTGATTTGTGATGGAGCCGCGTTCGTTTTGGTCTAGGATAGAAAAAGTAGAATTGCAAGTCAAGGTACTACAAGACCCGATCCATTATGATTATTTATTTATTTATTTTACAGTGTTTAATCCTCATTAGGGTGGCAGGTGAGTCAGAGACTCTCAACTGACTTTGGGCGAGGTGGTCACGCTAACCTCTTTTGCTTTTGAGGCCGCCGGTACCGCAGGCCAGGAGAAAACAGTGTCTTTTGGATGATACAGGCCAGTCTTAAACACTCCCTTCCGTTCCCTCTCTTGCTTTTCTTTCTCTTTCTGAAGGGCCTTTCTCTCTTTCCAGCGAGCAAGCTGTTTCAGCTTCTCTTCTAAGGCCTTGTCTGCAAATAAATATGGTTGGAGAGAAGGAAGTTTATCAATAATGAGGTGCACCTTGGCACTCAACACGAGGGTTAAATCATATGAATGGATGTGTGTGAGATGGAGACAACTACTTTTGGCAGATTTTTCCTTGACGTTTGTGACATCTTTCATTGGTGGCGTGTTGGTCACAGCAGAGTTATCCAGATTAGTTTCCTGCTCTGTGAGATTGTCCAGCTGCCTTCGTGCATCCACAGCCCGCCCTCGATTCTCCTTCTGGTTCTGACTGATTCTGCGGGACATTTTCACCCTCAGCATGGCCACACTGCTGTCCCGGCGGCGCAAATAAGAAAACTGGCAATCCATGGTGATGATACGCCTGTAGTAGATAGTAGGAGGGGGGCGGGGGGTAGGAAAATGTAAAATACAGGATTTACAAAATATAATGTGTGTGTCTGTACTTTGAGTATTCCCCCCCCCCCCGGCGATATTTACGGTACATTTCAGATTCTCTACGTTTGACTCAGCTTCTTTTCTCAGTCTTCGTTTATACAGTCTGTATGTCTACTTAAACATAAAAGTACTTTTGTTATAATTTCGGATATAGTAACGATTCACCAAGAGGTGACAAATACATGCAATCGTCGGTCAAATAAATACACAAATTTGGGGTCGTACACATCATTTCAAAGGCAACTGAAAAACAGTGTGCACCGTCTCGAACGGGTTAGCTAACAATAATACCGTCGCTTACGATAGATAGCGTTCAGCAGGCTACGACGCGAGAGAGTGAAACCTTGAAAACCAAAGTTTTGCAAAATATTGATGTAAATTCCTCTTACCTTTTGGTTAGAAAGAGAAAAACAATTTGAAAATAATCGCAGTACACGCCCAGCTACTACCTCAAGCGAACATGAAGGGTTGACTATTTGAATTTAGTCTTACGATGTGATTGGCTTGACGTCAAAACATTTCTGGTTTTTCATTGGCGCTTCAACTTCTCTACTTCCGCTTTATAAAAATTCCTTAACAGTATTCTGATTGGCTGGACGTCAAAAAAAAAAAAAATGCAGATTTTTCATTGGCACTTCAACTTCTCTACTTCCGCTTTATAAATTAAAAATTCTTTAACAGTATGTTAAGTAACATACTCAAAACGAAATAACCAAAGACAAACAAACGGGAAACATATCAAAGGTCCGTCAGAAAAGTTTTACAAACTTTGAAGACGTTAAAACGTGAGCACAAAATTGACTTTGTTTGTATATAAATAGGCAGCAGTACTAAAATCAAATGTGAAATTACTCAAAAACCTTTAGTTATCTACCTCGTTCTGTTATAAGTCACACGAAATGATTCCAACATCATTTTGGTCCTAAGGTCAAACAAATACTCTTGATCAGAAACAGAGGGTTCTTACAGTATGCAAAATTACTCCATAATTTATTCAAATTTAGTAGCGTTGTTTACAAACCACCAGTTTTGACATGATAGTCAAAAAGGGATTGGGGATGAAAGCCACCTGAAATAGCAGTTATGCATACACCAGTTTGAGACACAGAAAAGGTGTTCAATGAAAGACACACGCTGAAATCTTAACAGAAATCTCTCGAAAGAAATGATGTGCAAAGACAACGACATGACAAAATTCCAAGTACACGTAATTACAAAAGGGAATGACATCTCAAAAGTTCAATTAAAAAAAAAACGATGGGAAATCTTTTCGTTGTTTTTATTTTTACAGTGCAACTATTGCGTGAGACCGACGCTGCCGTGACACCCTGCGACGCTGACAAGTTGGTCGTGCGGTCAAAGAGTCTCTGTGCTCATTCCATCAATCCAAGAAGAAGATGTTGTTGAATTGTGTCGCGCAAAGTCTCTTCACCTCCTCTGCGAAAGAGGAAGGACAGACAAGGTTGTTTATGGACGTCTGGCAGTGGGTATGACACAAACGTTGCTGCAGACCTACCATTGACTTCAATGAGGTTGGCGTTCTTCTGATTGAGGATCACATAGAGTTCTCTCTGGTCAGACTTTTTGCCAACCACCCAGTAGTCCGTCATGGCTTTGACTATAATCTCTTCATCTTCATCAACTCTGAAAGACCCACAAAAACATTATTTGACTCATTTTGACTATCTTTTTTTTTTTTTTTTTAATGCGGGGCGTTGCATTACTTTGGATTTGCAATCAGCAAATTTCAAAGTTGTCTGGCGTACCTGGCGAAGTCACAGTTGATGTCCCCCAGGATCTTCATGAGGTCCGGATGGACAGACGTGAGGCAGACGCTGGCCGTTTTCCTCATGTGTATCGTGCTTTTCTCTGCCAGGTTCATGTGGTTGAAGTAGATGAACTTAAACTGGGGCTCCTTCTCTGGCCTTTGTGGGTGCGACATGGCGGACACGAGACAAAAAGATTTAAAAAACGGATATCGGTCATGAAATTGGAATTGCTCGACTGTGACGAGGCTGTCCTTTAACGCGAAAGGAAAATGATTTGTGCAAGTCATTTCTGTCAAGCAGTTATAATGTCAGCTTTGAGTCAGTCGGTTAAACATAACGGCAGTTTAAAAAAAAAAAAAAAAAAACACCGTGGGTCAAGTATGTATGAATTATACACGGTGATAAGTCACTCTGGAGGATTATAGCCACTGGGACAAGTAAGCTGAGGATGGCGTCACTGACGCAGTTGACTTGACGGCGACCAAATCAGGGCAGGCGGCAGAAAAGAAATGCGGGACTTCGTTATTTATTCAGTGGCTTCTTGAGTCGAGTCGATACTTGGATTACAGTCACGGATGCATTCGAAGCAACCCGCTCGGGCAGATGGACGCTTGAGGGCTGTCCATCGGGATGACACTGAGATGAATTAGGATGAAAAATAAAAACAAAGCAAAAAAAAAAATTTTTTTGTTTAGCTCAATATAAGTTGGTAAACTGAAATATTTCTTTTTTAAAACAGAAATGCTGGCCTTTTGAAAAGAATGTTCCTTCATGGACAATCAATAATTGGTCGATAGCTCCTCTTGCATAAAATCGTGCCTCGGTCAAGCACAGCAATGAGGCGATTAGCCTGTAGCATTGTTTCAATGCTGACGCCTATCGATTCTCTTTGGATGAGTTTGTTAGCCAATCACGCGCAGCAATTATCTCGGTCACTTAAGCAGTAAGTTATTTTATTTATTTTTTTCCCCATTACTTTGAACCGAAATACAAACTTGAAATATGTCTGTACGTTTTTAACGAATGCACCAAAGCTGCGCTTCAGGAACACATGACTTGGGTGACGTTTTCAACCAGGTGTGCGCCGTGATATTTTTCTGATCGGAAAGACATGCCTTGGCTCAGTCAAGGTCGCCAAATGTTAAGAAGTCAGCTCATGAGGACATTTCTGAAATGTTGACCAACGTCCAAGCGTCAAAAACCGGCACGCATCAACGAACCCCGATATCCTGCGGTTGACGGTGAACTGCTCGCATATGTCAGACGCCAGCAAGGTGAGCTGCGGCCCCACCAAGCCATCCAACTGCTCGCAGAACTCCCTCGTCATGTCCACGGAAGCTGTGTGGAAAGTCGACGTGAGAGAGAGAAGCAGCTTTATTGACAAAGCCATAATCTATGGGTCGGACTGAGCGATTTGACGCTTACCGTTGACCATAAAACAGGCGGCGGCGCTCATCGCCTGGAAGAGAGCAGGTCAAACACAGTTAAGAAGGTCACACAGCTTCGAAATGACATTGCCGCGCTGAGACTCACGGGCTGCGCATTCTCGTTATTTAAAAAAAAAAAAAAAAGCACGTCTAATCCTCCAAAATCCATCTCCCGAGTTCGAGCGCTGGGCGTATTTTACACCAACGTCATCCGCTCACACGATCAAAGTCATTTGACGAACATCCCTTTCACGCGGCGGGACGAAGAGGCATAATCCATTCGTAGACGCGTGGCAAAATATTCAAGAATCAATTATTGAGAGAGCAATGCGGTCGACCAAAAGCGGGCCGACACAATTGGTTTCACTTTACAGCATTAGCGTCTAATTCGTACAAGGACGTTTAATTTGATATAATAACCCTTTCGTGCACCCTGTAACCGTGATAAACGGTCCACTGTCATGGCCGCTGTCCCTGAAAGGGTTCGTCTCGCACATGCTCCAAATGTCCCCCTTCGACATGGCATCAGTCCCCCGACACGCACGGCACCGGCACGTCATCTGTCAGGTTACCTTATAGACAATGAGGTGCAGCTCCTCATGGCCATCTTCTGCACTCACAAATATTTTGGGGAAACGGAATTTGGCCTCCGGGTCTTTAAGGTTGGGCGGGCCTGTCAAAAACCTGAAGAGAACAGCATGTAAAATAAAGTTGTTATTGCAATGAACGATGTCATCGACGCATTTAACTCAATTAGACGCAACCGTCGAGCAGCAAATCTGCCCATCGGCGGTTTCGGCACTCACCTCCCATAATGCAACAAATTGCCTGCGACCTCCGGCCTAAGAGGCGAGTCCCTGCCAGCCAACTGGACACGGGCGGAACGAACCCAAAGAGGGAGAAATGCGCATCGCACGTGTGTTAAGTATGGACGGACAACATCCTCAGCACCTGAAGTGCACACGCAGCTTTTTCTTTACCTCCGGCTCGGAGTGCCTGGGGAACAGCGACGTGGTCAGGTACTTGTACAGAATCCTCATGTCATCTTGTTCCAGGCCGCTCCTGTCGCGCAAAAAAGATAATAAAACACCCACCGCAGAAGCGGCGCGAGCTGAGGCGAACGTGTCCGTCTCGTTACCAGATGAGCTGGTCGTTGTAGAGGAAGGCGGTGTATTTGATGAGGCTGAGATTCTCCTCCACCCGGTTGACAAAGGACTGGATCTTCAGGTACGTCATTTTGTCCAGCGGGAAGAAACTGATGCCGCCAAAGACGTCCAGCAGGTCACAGGACTGCAGGTGGAGAGTCTGCAGGTACTGGAAGACGAAGATAAAAAATGCAGCGCAAACATGAGGTGTAGGGAATTATTCGCCGGCATTGTATAAAATTGCAAATATATGCCACGGGGGCCAAACAGCTTGAGAATGTTTTTTTTTTTTACCCTGTAGAAGAATTTTTCAAGCTTCTGAGTAAGCAGCTCCACTCCGCCGGCATCCATGGCTCGACTAAAGGTACCGTTGAAGAGCTGCAGCAAAAAGGAAAGTCATCACACACAATCTTTTGAGAATCTTTGTCCAACATGAATGTGACGAGACGCTTAGAACTCAATAGAGGGGGAAAAAAAAAAATCGGCGCTTACCTTATACATGCTGTAGCACTGCTTCACCACAGCGCCGTAAACGGTGTCCTTGAAGGGGGCGCAGTAAGCATGGTGAACAACTTGGAAGCGGATACTATTCAAAGAGAGGACAAACACTCACAAGGATTTCCTCTTCCTGGTACTCGATCGTGGGAGGCTTTCCATCTTTGTTTGGTTTTTCAATCATTGGGTTTCGAACCACCTGAGCAATAAATGGGACACAAAAAAAAAAAAAAAAAAACAAGTGGGAAAGGAAAACGGATTGCATTCCATTCCCGGAAACCAGAGAAAAGATTTAACAATTTACCATGACCATCCAAAAGTTTTCCTCAGGCTCAAAGAAAAACTGTCGGTTCTTCTGCGTGTGCAGGGATTTTGCTGGTTTTGTTGGGCAGAATGTTCTAGATAAGAACACAAACATTAGCTACTCCCTTGGCTCTTCTGCAACATTTTCTAGACATCATTAATATCTTATTGCAATAGATCCCATCTATCATGACCACCTCGTGAACTGGACGATAGCTTCACAAAGGCCCACATTTCGGATCTTTTCGTTCTTCTCCACGTCGCTGGGGTGATAAAACAGTATCTTTTTCTCTTCCTAATGTGATTAAAAAAAAAAAAAACATCACCTGACATCAGTACTTATCAAGACACAGGTAAAGCTATTATAACGGGACCTCCTAGTTCAGGTGCAAATTTCAAACTCATCATTTGAGATGCCGACCTCACCTCTCCTTCCCGTGGTCCAAATGTGGGATTATAAACAAAGAAATTGAGTAGACATGCTGTGAACTGTTTCTCTTGCATTCCCGACGACATTCTGGGGCTGCAAGACAATAATAATAATAATAATAATAATAATAAGTCAATGTAAAATAATACCAGGTTATTTTCATGATCGCCCCGTGCAGTAAATAAAAGAATCTGGTTTTACCTAATCATCAGCATCAGTGTCACGTTTGTCTGGATTTCCTTTGCGCTAATAATTGTGTTGCAAGCATGCCGTTCACCTGCAGAAGCAAAACAAGCACTTTATGGATAGCACAGCTTCATATGATCATGAAAATTACAATTTCACTAATTTTTGTCTTGTGGTTGTAAAAATTACACTTTATACAACAAGTGTTTTCAGCAAAGAAAACGTGTAACGAGTAAAACATTCAGCAGCAATACTGTACATCTTATAGGACATTTTTGCACGTTAGCTTCGCTAGCAAGACTTTCCGGTGTGCTGAATGACGTCCAAAGCGTATAAAAAAAACACCAAAAACAAAACTGTTGGAGGAAAAGGGAAATAAACTCTCACCTTGCAGCGCATAAATGAACAGTTTCGTATGCACGTCGTTGTATAACAGCAGAGGAAAAAAAATGCCACTAAACAAGAGGAGAGACAGTTTGCATCGTCTACTTCCTGCTTTTGACAGCAGTGTGTTACACCTAAAACTAGCCGGGAGGAAAACGCAGCGAGCTCAAAAAAGTTGAATGGTCCCAGCGCTGAATAAATAATAATAATAATAATAATAATAATAATAATAATAATTTTACTTCATAGATAATGCGAAGATAAGACCTTCCACTGGAAAAAATAGGGGTTAGCGACTTGCAAAAGCTATCAACAAGATTGGTAATTTTGCATCACTGTACAGTATATGCTTTTGTAAACTGTCCTTATTCTTCATTAACACATAAACTATGTAAAAGTTATGTTATAAGGCGCTTGTCTAGAAGTAACTATTGTTGCCAACTTTATTTCATAGAACAGAGAGGCCACACATTTAATTTCTTTCATTGTCACAGGTTTGAAGGACCTTTATTGTTATTGTCAATTCATGAGGGCAGAGCAGAACATTAAAAAAAAAGAATGTCCACTGAAATACAAGCCAATGAAAAGAAATCCAAAAAAAATCAGTGGAAATGGAAGCAAGAACTGATCCATGGAGGCCTCAGGACAGGACAATCATCTGGAACTCTAAACAAACAGAGACAGTATTTAACATTGTGAAGATTTTTTTTTTTTTTTTTTTTGCATTGACAGTTAAAAATCATCCCAATTAAAATTTCCTGATGTCAATCGTGTGCACTGAACATGTTCCAGTCTCAATGGCACTGAAGAAAAAAAGAATCCACCCCAAATAAAATCTGTATATTTTATTTAACAAAACACACAAAACCGTACCGCAGATACAAATTTGTCCAACATCATAAATAATTTGAAAGCTTTAGTTCAACCTCAGTGCGTCAGGATAGCAACCTGCAGGGGGAAAAAAAAGTGTTCTCCTCGCATCAGATGCCCGGTTGAGCTGCAGGAAATCAGATACTGACCCTCTGCTCCGATCCTGCCATCGCTGTCGTCATCCGCTGCCGAGATGAAGCTTTTGGTTTCAGTCTCGGTCAGCGTTCTCGCTCCGGGGACGAACCGCTGCAGGAAAAACCTTCACAAACACAAAGGTCACTCAGTCGCATACAAGATGCATTGCGTCAATATTACAGCAAATCATGAGGACACACCATTTTGGGGGGGGGGGGGGTCAAATTGTAGTACAACAAAAGGTGAATTATGTAACACAAATGTCACGATAACACTTAGATCATGATAATCCACGTGGATTACAAAGGGACGGCTTTAATACAGATGTGCGAGTTGGTCGCTAGGTCTTAATCTGTCTGTCATGCACACTGTGACATTTTACCATTAGAGAGGTTGAGATAAATAAATACAACTGGAAAAAAAAAAGATGAAATGTCCCACTTGAGCTCCGACTCCTGCAGGTAGCCGCTGTTGTCCTCATCGAGGATCTGGAAGACATTCTGGACCTCCTGAGGCGTCTTGGAGGAGAGGCCACATAGTCCAAAGAACTTCTTGTGGCAGAATGAGTCTGGAGCTGCAGAAAAAAAAAACATACTGTAATACAGTATCATAGTTTAACAGAATGTAAAGAATTCATTGCAGTAATTTAGTTGTTTTTTTTTGCAGAGGATAAAGAATATATGCCCGTGACTGTCGTCATGTTGTTTGCCTGCATGTGTTGCTCCCATTTGTGTTCAAATAGAATCGTTTTAAAAGTTGATAACTACCGGGATTCCAACGCTAGTTTTGTTAGCCTGTCTATGATTATTCCCATTATACGTTAGCATGAAGATAGCGGGCTTTGGTAAGCCACAACTCAGTACACAATGTGAAGCTCTCTTTGCTCTTTGTTCCATTCGACCGTAAGATTCAAGTGGGACTCGGCGACCTGCCGATCGGCTGCTTTGTTATGAAATTCGCTGCAACATCTAAGCCGTCGCAACTTCAATTTTGGCTCAAAAGTCAAAGCAGAAAAAATATCAGCCGACTCGTAGAACGGGTCACTTGTAAGTCGAGGCACCACTGCTTTATGTGAAATTGTTTGAGGGAGAAGCCCGATGAGGTGAGATTAAAAATGCATGTGGATGCTGTTTTTTTTTTTTTTTTTTTTTTTGGTTAAATTGAGCAAAGTCATGCAAGCACTAAAACAGACAGGATGATTGAAAAGCTTTTGCAATCATCCGGAGGTGCAGATAAGAGGGTACTGTACAAAAGTGAAATGAACGCAGCCCGAGAAAAGATTACAAACCTCGTCTTGACCTCTGCTTGAGGTGATGGAAATCGCAAATTGATCTGACGCGTATTATATATAGTTTGGCAGGATGGGTGTTACCTTGACAGTCTTTCACAGCGTTTTCAATGTCTTCGGCCGAGAGGATGGAGGTGAGGGACATGCTGGTTCTGCGGAGTAAAAAAAAAATAATTACACACTGGGTTTTCTCGCCCACTTCAAGCGTTCCCATTTTGGGCCAGAGTCAGACTCCTTTTCTTGAATTTGATCAATTTTTATGCTCTCATGCGTTCCACTGATATTATGACTTCATCATATGCCTGACTGTACAATGTAATCAATAAGCCTGCTTATTGATTACATTGTCTCTCGTGGGGCCTTTTAGTTACATATTGCTATTGCCTTTCATGCACAAATAACGAAAACCTACATCAGGATTTTCTTCCTCAAATGTTTTTGTTAGTCTTGACGCATGAAAAAAAAATAATGGCAGTGGATGGCAACACACGTAAGGGTCCATTGTAGTGGTTGATGCACAACTGTGACATTAAGATATAAGAAAAAGGTTCTTCGATTCAAAACAGTTTTTTTGCTGGACCCCTAATAGCTGGCCGAACCAACAAAAAAACAAAACAAAACGAATCTCTTAAAGGTTTTGCATAAAATGAGAGGATTTCATATTGACTTACTCAAGGCAATTTGAAATTATAGTTATTTAGACTTTTAAGGTAAGAGTGCTTGAAGCAAGCCAAAGGCTCTGACACAAAGTACCCGCTGGCCGACAGAGAACAAGCTCGTCTCGATATATATAATGTATATTTTTTTTGTGGTGTTGGATGACCTGCACAGTCTATCGTGATGCGGATGCTGCAGAAGATTAGAATGGTCCCTTGAAGCGACAGCGCTTCTAATTTAAAGTCTGTTCAATATCGTGGATGTCGTTTGCAGAGGCGCAAGAACCGCATTTGCCTCACGCAGGCGAGTGTCAACTGATTTTATTATTTTTTTTGACAGATGCGTGACTCACCTCTGTATGCCGGGTGTCCTCTCAGGTTCCAAAACAACCGCAGTTTAAAAGAGTCGTCGTGGTGAGTCCCCTGATAGCCGCCTCACTTTTATAGACTCTGCTTGAATTTCCACTGCGGGATATCAGATGTTCCCCCTAGCCGAGCTCGTGTTGCTCTACCTGCCCGATAAACTTTTTATAGCTCCGCTCACTCTTCCTTTCAGCTACGACGCGTGTAGGATTTTTTTTTTTTTTATCCAATCAAGTTTTCTGTGCTGTCGTTCTCTCTTCCCCCCTTCTACAGCCTCCCCTCCCTGCCTTTGCTCGCCCCGCGAGTGCACATGAGAGATTACACACATTTCGCATTTATTCAAGGTGCTTTAAGCTGTCTCACAGGGGTGGGAACTATTGTGCTCAAGGGCCATGTTTGATTTTTTTTAAAAATGGACAGATGATGGGGAAAGGGGGTGAGATGAGCCGGTGAGGAAGGAATGAGGGACTATGCCTAAAAAAGGTAAATAAATGAATGAATCCAATTTATGATACGATTTTTAATTTCAATAAATCTGTAATTTAAAAATATTGTGTATTTATTGAAATGATGAATGAGGGAGATGATGATGAAAATGGCAATCGTATTTTATTTGCAATAAATTCATTCATCTATTATTTTAACGTGATAAAGGAAGAAAACTTTGACCCAAAAAAAGAAATAAACTAAAATAAAAAATACACAAGAGGCTGAATTTTTCCAAGAGTGACACAATGAGTAGAAACGACGCTTGACACTGCCTGGATTAAAGACTGGAGGGGGCCGTATGCGGCCCATTCTTCTTCTTTTTCTTCTATATGCTTTTTCTCAGTAAGCCGCTAAACCAGGATAAAATCAGATCCGCACAAAATGCATTTCGTACGCATGCCTATGGATCATGTGAGATCCCCGCCCCACCTCGTGACAACATCTGTCAGCAAGACAATGCGATTTGATGGTACTCACAAAATTATTATTTGTCCACATTTCACAAATCTGTATAAAATTTTTTTTTTTTTTACCCAGATACGAATTATTCAGTGGCTGCAGGACAGACAGATTCAAGTTCTTTCCATCTTTTGTTTTTGAATAATTACACCCGGTTACCTTGACGACCAGCTACTTTCTCACCAATGGGTTTCCTCTGCAATGGCAGCATCATCTCTGGTGGTTTCAGTCAGCATTTCTGTCAAACCCAAGGGAATAAAGGTCATTATTTCTCCATGTTTTTTCATCTGCGGTCTGGTGTGTCAGCATTGCTGTTCGTTCTGCACCACAAATTTGTGTTCAATTAATTAACGGTCAGGTGTTATCGATATTTAGTGTGGAAACTATCGGTTTTGATGAAATCAAAAGGCCCTCAAAGACCTGAGTGAAAGCAGATTGGAGCAGCAGTGCCGCCTTGTGGTGATAAACGCTTAAAGCAATCACGAAGGCCATGACATTAGGTACACCTGCGAAATGTCATCGGAGCCTGGGTACATGCAGAATCAAAACTCTGTTAAACTGAATCTTACAGAATGACAAACACGTGATTTTTTGAGGAAGTGTCTTTATTTAGAACCAATATAGCGAACGAAACATACTGTAACAGAGAGCATCCATTTTGTTTTTTTGAAGACACTACAGTACTTGGAATGCTTTTCTAATCTACTCGCATACACGCTCTTGTTTACTGTTGCTAGTTAACATCCACCCTGAGATGATTAACATCCAATAAACCGGAGACGTAAGGCTGCTCTTAGGAAGACTTGACCAGTGCAGAAAACTCTGAAATAACAAAGAGGAAAAATAAAGGACACGTTATTTATAATAGTCGCATTCACATTTTTGTGCTAAAACCAAAGCAAGACAATTTTTTTCCTTTGCTGCTATCTTCTGGCAGCAAAGGAAACCTACAATGAGTTATCTTGTTATGAAATGGTAAAAATCCAGTAAGCATGGCACATTTGGTTATATAATTGGCTATTTATGCTCAGTGGGTATTATTTAAGTCAAAACAAATCTTCTCTTGAAGATTATTTTCAAGTACGCGTCTCCTTCCTGCTCACAAAATCAGAAAAGTCAAAATATCACCGACCTTCCCAGCCAATCTTGCCATCACCGTCAGAGTCGCCTTCGAGCAGGAAGCCTCTGGTCTCAGCGGCAGTCAGCGTCCTGGCTCCTTTGGAGAAGTTCTGCAAGAAGAGTCTAACGGCAAAGTCATCAATGCGTTTCTTATGAAATCACTCAAGAGAAGAAGGCAAAGTCAAGCCTGCAAAAAAAAAATCAACGACGAACTCAACTGTAGCTCATCCTGCTCAATGAAGCCACTTTTGTCCTGGTCCAAGATGTTAAACACCTTCTCTATCTCTGTTGGAGTCTTTTTCGATAGACCCACCGCTTTGAAAAACATCTTTGGGTTAAAGGAATCTTTTGCTGGAAGAAAAAAAAAAAAAATCAAGCTTGGAATCTTGGGCCTGGTATTCTAACCCCAGACCAAAAAGAAAATCAAGGTCTTACCTTTACAAGCGTTTAGAGCCGAGGTAATGTCCGAGACGGCTAGAACGTCGGTGATGGCCATGACGACGGAGATTGTTGTGGTCCAAGTGAGCGGCCACCGCGGTTTGATGTGCGACGGCTGATGCGCGGAAAGAAACAAAGTGGCGCGGTGAATAGGCTTCACCCCCCCACGGGGTGTCAGAAACCACCAGCGTCCTTCTGTCCGCTGCCACCCGCAGCTGTGACCACTTCAGACGTTATTTAACGTACGGGCTGCTCCAACCAACAAGGTGGAAGTCTCAAAGCGGAGGCAGTTGGTCAGTCACCTTCACAATGTGAAAGTCAAAAGCGCATCTCAAGTCTGAACTTTTTCCAAACGAACCCTGCGACCCAAATATGGACAAGGAGTATATAAGAAGGATGTAGATTATATGCACAGTGCTTATGGAGAGACGCAAACATTTCCCTGCAAACTCATTCACTGGCTTCTTGCCATCCTCTTCTTCATCCATGCAGCATTTCCACAAGTTATAAACATCCTGTTTTTATCCGGCCTTGGTCACTATCGGGCCCAACTCCGTGGAAATGTCTTCTTGTCCCTCCCACATGCTACATTTAGCATATGGAAGCATGGTTGCAACCGTGGGCGGCACATCTGCCTCACAGATTTGAACTTAGGACTCCTGGTTTAAATTGACTGCCAAACTCACCATAAAAAAAAAAAAAAAGGCAAAATTACATCGGGGGTTCAAAACACCCACATAACTTTGCTTTCAGCCCGCTAGCTTAATGCTAAGACATCATGGGAAACACCATAGATGGGCTGACGAATAGCATCTCTATGTCAGGGTTGTAACAGCTTCGAACAAAAATGACACACAAGTGACAGAGACAGAGAGAACATAACAATACTCACCGGCATATATTCTTTGTCCTCAGTGAAGAAAGACTTGGGTCTTAACATATCCTCCCTCTCCGTGTTCATCCGTTCTTCTGCTATGCTGCCCTCCGGTGGCCATGGCATGCACCAAAAGAAGCAGCACAACACACATTTAATCAAACCATTCCATTTAATGATGTCATCATTTTGTGTTTAAAATGTAAAATATTATAAAGGGTCACTTTTCAAGACAACATTTGTTGTTTTTGAGAAGCTAGAAATGATTAACGGCATTTCCATTCATTTTCATTTGATGCATCACACATATGAGGAGCGGAAAATAAAAGTTTGTACCTTCAGCGGGCAGCACGGTGGTCCGCTGGTTAGCACGTGGTCTGCCGGTCTGAGGTTCAGGGTTTGAATCTCTCATCTCTGTATATAAAATGTGAATAGCATGTCGACATGTGGCCTGCAATTATTCTGATGCGACTATTATCGCCACTTAGCTCGTGTGTATGCCAAGACACGATGGCGACTATTTAGTTGTCAAGCAGTTTCACATCCAGCGTGCGGGGTTGGGGGGGGGGGCGCTGGAGTGAAGCGGACGTTACGGTATCACACAGGCACCACGTGAGGGTCTTTGGCTCGGCCACACGGTGACGCCAGCCCCGTTTCCTCAGGATGGGCCTACGGGTGAGACCTGCGACAGGCCGAGGAGTGGAGCAACAACAAAAACATCCTTTGCTCCCCCCTCCCCGCACACTCCCTCGCACATCTGCGCCCCCGCCGCCCACCCTCGGCCTTGTGCCTTTCCTTACTCCCGGGCTTGTTTTCAGGAAGACCAGGCTTCCTGTGTGATGGATGAGAGGCGGGAAAAAGGGGGGATGGGACGGAGGTGGAGAGGGATGGGTTGCAATTGCATTTTCGGTTCTAGGCGTGTATGAAGCGTTCGGAGTTAGTGGTTGCACAGCTGGATTGGAGAGGAGACACTTGCTCAGTTGGGGAATGGTCCACTGGTTGTTTTGGGACTTGGAGTTATCAGCATGTCATGGGAACAAGCACAGGTATGAACACTTAGTTAAACAATGTTTGCTTGTTATTTACTGCGGAGGTTCATGCAGTGGTGGGCACAGCTGATTTTTAAGAGACAGAAAGGCCAGGAAAGGGGCACATTCTTTTTTATGGCGAATAAGAATCTACAGTGCTGCGAGTAATAATTAGTCTTCCCGAACTTCCTGTCAGTCAAATTGAAACCAAAGATGTCTCTCTCGTCTCGTCCGTGTGACATTTGGACGCAAGACCCCTGTCGAGCTGTATCAGATTCTGAGCAACCGAGACGGGACGCCATCCATCAAGAGTCCAATTCCAAACACAGCGGGAACAAGCGGCATCATGTCGAAATAGAAACGGCATACTTGTTGCTTGGCGACAAGCTCTCATTGTCCATTCTCTCTTTCGTTGCAGAATCTTTTGCTTTTTTATGACTAGGGAGGAAAAGATGGCCCGTTGTTAACTTCTGACAACAACATCCTGATGCTGTTTGGGTGTGCCACGCAGAACTCCAGCATCAGTGATTTTGTTGCCAGCGGGAGGACACAATCGGCCAGGGTTGACTAAAACCAGAAGTGGGACGGTCACAGCCGACAAGGCTGGCAAACTGTTTTTTTTACACACTCATGTACCATTGCTGAACTGTCAACCAACCAAGAAATCGTGAGCATTTTTTTTTTTTTACAAAAATCTACTCGTTTTTACTATTCCTGAGGTATTTGTCCTGGATGTTATTCCAAATTCTCCAAAAAAGAAAAAAAAATCAGGGTGTACAAGGAAGACCCGGTACAAGAGATGCTAAGCCATGTCTGCCATCCAGTGGTGGATGGTGATATTACAACTTAAAACTATTAAGCGGAACACTGCTATATTTTATGTTTCCTAGTGAATAAAACACACGCGGCCATGACGGGGCTCAGCTTAACACACGAGTCATTTATTCGCGTGCTCATCATTGAGGCACTTGACACAAGATGTGGAATCTGCCCGCCCAACACCAGCACAATTTGTACATAAAAATTCACATTCTGAAATATGTAAACGTGTTCAAACAAGCGTTGCTCACGCCGAGCACGGAAACATCGCTATAATACAAAAACAGCGTCACATACAAAACGAGGTGCTGCTAAAACGATTTCTCCACGTGCACAAGAACCCGTCTCCATGTACCAAGTGTACATTCCAGAACCACCCTCCATATACACTTGATGAAAGTTACTTATAAAAAGAAAACACGTTTTTCAATTGACGGCAACAATATTAGGAAATAAAGAAATTTAACACCAAAGGGCTCAGTCCAAATGTCATCTTTGGCGATTTATCAGTTCCTTGTTCCATGCAGTATGTTTGTTTTTCAATTGACATTATTAGTCGGTGTAAGGCAAAAACTAAATAAGGCGTAGAATCATCAATAAGGCTGCAGTGGGGCTACTCTGAATGAGGTTTGAATGTGAACGCTACAATTCACTTTGAAAAGCTGTCCAGACGTTCAAACGGCAGATATGGGAAGTTTGATCCCATTTTGGGTGGCATGTTACAAAGAAGGCTGAAAGAAAAAAAAAATCCTTTCGGTACCTTTTCTTTTTTTGGGGGTTTGTTTCTTTTAGCCAGTCCCGTTGTGAGGGGTGAGGCTCTCCCAGGGGCAAATGATCTCCTTGGCCCCCAAAGCTCCCTGGGAGGAGGCTCGGTTCTCCTCGTCTTCATCCTCGGATTCGATGGGGTAGATCCGACACTCTGGGGGGATGTCCACCTTGATCTGGAAAAAGCTGCAGCACGCAGACGGGCTTGAATTGATCACGCTTCTTTTTTTTCATTGAAAATACTGACTGGCAAATTTATCAACTTTTTTTTTCCATAATGGGCATCAATTACACACCGAGTTAGTTGCCCGACTGGCGGGCCTGAATGTCTGTATTATACTGCCCCCTTGTGGCTATGGCATGCACACCAGAAGAAGAAGTGCAATGTGCATTCAGATTAAGCAAAAAATGTGGCAAAAACGGTTTTATTCAATTCATTGAAGTCATTATTAAACGTTTTTGTAGTTAAAAATATTAGGTTTTTTTTTTTTTTTTTTTTTAATCAGAGACGCACATAAACTTCACAAATCCATGTCTGACTAAAATCTGCTTTGTAAATGCTTCACACTCACTTGCCAATCCTCCGAGGCGGGGCCTGGCTGGAGGCGTCCGGACTAATTGGCCGAATGCGTCCACTGGCCCCGGCGGCCGCGTGGCACTTGGGCGACAGGCTGGCGAAGACAGCGGAGGGGCCGCCGCCCACCCCGCAGCCCCGCCTCAGCAGCCGCCGCAGCGAGAGAGCCACCCTCGACTTGCACGTCGAGCCGGGTGCCCGCAAGGCCTCACCATCTTGCTCCGCCTTGCCCCCGGCTTCCGGCCTCCGCTCGGAGCCAGAGGTGCTGTCCGGGGTTACGCTGACCGGGGACGGGCAAGGGGCGAGGACGGCCAGGGAGGACGAGGCGTTGGCGGTGGGGGAGTCGACCAGGCCGGAATACACCGCCAGGTGCGGCACCGGGGTGGTGAAGCGGCACAACTGTGGGATGAAAAACAAAAATATGTTACAGATGTTGCTATTTTTAAAATGGAAAGAAATAGGGCTGATCATTTTATTAATTATGAATTTATGCATTTATTTCTTTTTAGCAGGCCAAAGCGTGTCCCTGTGGATGTGCACTGTTTGCACTAACAACATGGCTGAAAAACAACAGGGGCCATTGCACGGATAACACACGGAAGACTATCAGGACAACATCTTACGGGTGGTACTTAAATCAAGGTAGATCAGGAGAAGAGATCAGTAGAATAAATGGAAAAATCACAAATCAAAGATGAGATTTTGCTTACGTTTTTTTTCATCATTAGACTCTTCGGTTGACAATGCAACTTAAGATGGTCATCCTTAGCCGGATGGACATCGGCGGCGGGGATGAATGATGGGACAGACAGATGAGGTGCTGCTGGATGTTTTAATATAGTTGCCATAACATGTATGCAGACAGTACAAGTTGCGTGTTGGAATCATGGATCGGGGTAAGTTTGGGGAAGGAGAAGGGGGGGGGGCGACAAACAGTAAACAAAGCCAACATACAGAAATATAACACGGACATTGTGGGTGATGCTTTCGATGCCGACACACGATGCTTTTTTTGTTTCACCTGACAGAAGCTGAAGCGACAAATTTTGGGGGCTAAAATATGAAGTGTGTTAAGTTGTGTATTTTATTAAATATTTTTAATTCAATAAAACAGTATGTATTTCCATTTTACGCAGCGCCATCATTTGTGCTTGCTGAGTTTGCTCATGACCTGCGTGATGTCGACAGGTGCGTTGGCGGCCATCCTGGCTCGCTCCTCCAGCTCCCGCTGCCGGAGGACGATGGGACTGAGGCTGGGCCGCCGGTTCTTGGCATTCTGTTCTAACTGGGCGTCCCTGTTAGAGCATGGCCAATTAAAAAACAAACATAAATGGCTTCAGGGGGATTGGGTCAAAAGAATGGGCCGAGCGCCTACGTGAACTTGTGCTCCTCGGGGCAGATGGCCTTCTTCAACGTGTCTTTGAACACCTGAGATTTCATGTAGCGGCCGTACGAGTCCTGCAATTCCACAACTAGCGGTGAATTCTTTAAAAGGAGAACGTCGACAACGTTCGGTGAGCCGGTCGGTAACTGACTTTCTTCATGAGCATGTAGATGTGGGTCTGGGCGGCATCCAGCACGTATCGATGGGGATGCTTCAGGCCGTTCACTGTGATCTCCATCGTCTTCCCGTCGATGTTGATCCACCTTGGGGCGCCGCGGGCCAGGAAAGTCCTGATGATCACAATGATCAGTAATGTGATTACATGTACTCTCCTGCCCTGACTAGAAAGATTCCACAGAGTAGAAAAAAAAAATATTTAAGTCCCGAACAAGTAATTCCTTTACTTATAGATCTGCTCGGCCTTCTCCCGCATGGTCGCCGCCGTGCCCCACTTTAAATCCTCGCAGCCTTCCCAGAATGCCAAGTTTTCACCTGTCAAAACAGCCACCATTTTGTCTTTCAAAATGTCTCCCCCGACGGCCGCCGTCCTCATACCGCTGAACTCTTTCTTCAGAAAACGCCTGAAGTCGTCGCGCCCTCGAGGGTCCGAGAGCAACTCGCCGAAGCTGAACGTCCAGCGCTCCACGCGCATCTTGGTGGGCGTTTCCACACTGCCGCAATGAAAAGGAAAAGATTTCAAAGTCATCGAGTCGTGTGCAAATCTCATCCGAGTGTGTACTGACTTGGGCATGTTCAAGGTCCAGTACGTAACATCGTCCGTGTGCCAGGGGTTGCTGGGAAGACATTTGGAGAGGAACGGGTCGTGGCTGTTGTAGGTTGCGCTATATTTCACCAACCTGTTGGGAAAAAAAAAAACAAAAAAAAGTAAACGTATTTATTAGCTAGTCCTCATGCGCAACAGAATTGGACAAGAAAATATGGACGACAAACGTACGCGCCAATGGACACTGACGACTTGACTCTGGGCCTCATGATGGACTGCTGGGTGAAGATCATCTGCAAAGAGGAAGAGATGAAAATCCAAGATAAAGAACCAAAAAATCTAAATAAATATCCATCGATAAAAATAACAGATGTGAAATTCTTACAATTCTCTCGTAGTAGTCGGGCGTTTTCACCTGCGAGGAGGAACCCAAAAAATAAAAATAAAAAAACACGGGGTGTGATGACAGAAATGACGCGTAAGAACCGTGTGAACGACGGGCACTTGAGAAGAAAATGAGCAGCGAGAAAGGCCTGCAGGAGACAGAAGACAAGAGAAAGAGGAAGCAGGCTGAGTAAGGAAAACGACAAGAAAAAGCATCACGGAAGAGAAGCTGACTGATGAGAATTCACGTCCACTCACCTGTTACCTCATCTGTGTTTGGATCGATTCGCCGGTCGAGTCCATAGTCCATGGCGCTAACCGTACCAGGCTATAAAAGAACGACAGTACTTGGCTATTAACCCTTACAGGGACAGCGGTGACTACAGTGGACAGCTGATCATATTATCAGCTTACAGGGTGCCTGAAAGGACGTCATTCTCATACGCGGCGTGAAATATTAATCGGGCGTGACCTTTTGGCTCCGATAGGAGATGTGAAGGCAATGAGGCATCGTGGGGAGAGATAATGAGATTCCCCGCCGAGAAAGGAGGTGCAATTTATTTCCACTCGGCAATTGGAGGGTGTCCACATAAAGCCGGCATGTGTACGTATGTCTGTGTGAGTGTGTGAGTTTCTCACCGGGGGTCTGTGGACCACCCAGTAGGCCCTCTCTTGACAGTCAAACACCACGCGGTCCGGTTTCTTCCTCTCCTTGGCGGCTCTCGGGTTACACACAACACCCTTTGTTACTCATTTTTTGCAACCTCATAGTGCGACGTGCACGCATTTTAGGGGACCAAATATGGTTCAGACAAAAAAAAAAAAAATGTTTTGCATTCGCGTCTTACCTGTACTGTTCTTTCGCCTGCATCACGATGAAGTCCCACTTGTGATTCATCCACTTGTGAAGGCGGTTGTACTGCTCCTGAGGACGCCCCGGAGACAACACAACCGTAAGCCTCTCCGGCAAGCAGCGGCGGCAGCGTTTCTTGGCCTCTCTGACCTGCTCGTGCATCTCCAAGATCCCCTTCTTGCGTATGTTCCTTTTGGCCAAGTAGATTGCTGCGGCGCAGGTACACGTATTAGGGTTGGTTGATGTGTGCTTAGACCTGATCACACTCACCGTAGTCGGTATCCTCCACGGGCCACTGCTGGGCAGGCCAGAAGTATGGCGTCTGAAATGAAAAGTGGGGCGTGTGGATGACAATGAAGACTCACGGTTTTTCCTAACTTTACCCCGATTGAACCAAGACATGTAATTTATTACCTGGAAGCGGTAGAGTGACGCGTCGGGCTTCAGCAGCAAGCGCTTGTGGTCCTGCAGCGGGTACACGAAGCCCAATGCCACCAGCATGGAACCCAAACCTCTGGCCTCTGACCACAGCAACACAGGGCGAAACTTTACAGGTGTTTATTTGCCCCGTGTTGACTTTCCAAGTTGTTCAGGCGTTAAACTGACCTCTGGAGTCGATTTGGAATCTGTCTGCCAGCCACGCAACTATGTCTTCACCTAGAGACCACATATTCAAATGACATCATTTGACTGACAGTATGCACACGTGCGCATGTGTGTGCATGTGCGTAAATGCCAGACCCCCTCTGACACACGACAGCTGACTACCTTGGCCGCCTGTGGGCCTTTCTGGCTAATATGATGCAGCGTAAAAAAAAAAAAAAAAAAAAAAGGACAGGGAAGAAAATAGAAGTAGAAAAATGTCATTAGCGATGTATTCTCCCTCTATAATTGCCTCTTCTGTCTGATTTTCTTTCGCTTCCGTCTGTTACTTGTCATTCCATTTCTCCCCTCACTTTGACGAGTCCACGGGGGTTGTCATGGCGACAAAATCTGAAGCTCTCGAGTTTGAGGCGCTGCGTCTCGGCCGTCAGACGCTGATTACACAATCACTCAGCATCAAGTGTGTGCTGCTCATCAGTGTGTGTGTGTGTGGGGGGGGGGGGTGCTCACCAGTAATAGCGTGCGGTATGGTGGTGATGACCAGTCGCTGCGGCTGAGACTTCACTCCCGATTTGGGATCCTGCATCTCCAGCAGTACCTTTTCCGCCTGTGGGGGGGGAAGAAGAGGTTACCATGACAACTAATGTGGGGGATGCTGGCTGGTGAGGGGGCTAGACGGGTTGCTTTGACAACAGATTGCAAGGGCAGTTTGAGATTGAAAATGTCTTCCAGGTGCTTTTAGTGGTAGAACTTTAAATACGTTTCAGGTAACCTGAATACACTTTGTTTGTCACTCTTGATTTTCTTTGATGTTGCCTCAACTTGGAGCTAAATCAACACAAAAGTGTCAAGAGGGGTGCACACGCCTTCCTCCTGCACGCGTGATGTGGGAGAGATGAGTCAAGATCCAGTCGCTGGATTAACTTCTTTCTGCATGGGCCCCACTTCACTGACAATGATCCTGTCTTAATGCTTATTAAACTGCATGACCTTATTACTGTGAGGAGGTGAGCAGTTTATTAAGGAGCTGATAACATTCTGATAACATGTCATGCATTTCTAATCATCTGTTCACTGATTTACATTCAATATTAAAACCATGCAAACAACCTCATGGCAGCTAGTCAGAGTAAATAATCTATACAAAAGATTCAATTAGATTATGTCCCCCCACAATACGTGCTTTGTTTTCCATACCCGTAGATATGCTGTCATGGAGCCTGAGGGCTGGCTGTGTTTTGTATGAGCAGAACCTTACCTTTTTAAGACACGCCATCCTTGGCCGATATCTCTGCCCGTGATCCCGCAGAGTGTTTCTAATTGTCATGCTGCCTGATGATAATAGTGTCCACTGACCACACGCTCAATGCAACTGCGAGCTGTGTCGCCGAGGGATGCTGGTTGGAGAGGATAATCAATACCGGTGGTGCCTTCGCGTACTCACAGCGAGCTCGGAAAATTTATATTTGTTATAACTAGCAAATTGACATTGCATTGTGTTACTGCATTTGTAACAATATACACTTACGGGATCTACGTTTTTAAATGATGTTCAGGCGCCATTAAGTTTGTTCGAACGTAAAGAGTAGCTTTTTTTATATTAGTGTGTTCAACTCCGTTGTCCCTGAACGACGCACCATACCTCAAAACTAATAGGAATCGACCAATGAAAGGCGTTTTTTTCAGAAGTTACATAACAGTCCTCTTGGGGGCGCTATTCCATTATCAAGAGTTTAAAGTTTAGTTTTATGACCGTTCCGTTGTTTTATATATTAATAAAATGCTTTTTATCACCTATTATTTGAAATGTGTCGTTATATTCATCTCCCAAGACCTCAGTTTAAGCTTACGTGGCGTCTCACTCCTCCGAGCTAGAGCCGTGTGTGAATGACTCGATATAAATGCGTCTTTTTTTGTGGACGTCTGACCAGCCAGATGATAAGATATGTCGGCTTTTTAACGAGCTAATCTGGCCGTGTCCGGCGCACTTCTTAGACGGCCGTCCAAACAAGTCTACTTCCTGAATGTGGGAAGGGGCTTGGTCCCGTGCCTCCTTGCGCCGCCGCGCATAGCGCAGCCAAATTAGCATCGATGAGGCTCTCGCGAACATGGCGGATTTCCTGCCGTCGCGCTCCGTGCTTAAAGTTTGCCTTCCCGTGTGTCTGCTCAACAGCAGCGAGGTGGAGCAGGTCCGCCGCTCCAAGGAGATCGACCGGCGGCTCTCCCGGGAGAAAACCTACGTAAAACGCCTGGTAAAGATACTGCTGCTCGGAGCGGGCGAGAGCGGCAAGTCGACGTTCCTCAAACAAATGCGGATCATCCACGGCCAGGACTTCGACCAGAGAGCCCGCGAGGACTTCCGAGCAACCATTTATAGCAACGTTATCAAAGGTGAACTGCAACAAAAAAAAAAACAAAGTACTACAATGACAAATTTTTGGACGCGTGAATGTGAGGCGAGGCCCGCATTTTGTTGGTTAATAATGGCCGGGAAAAGTTTGCCAGAGAGGCACATAAACAGTCCTCGACACACCCTACACGAGAGCCCCCTTCTGCTTGTTTAAACCTGTTTTTGGCATACGTTATCGGTTTGTACCGTCGCTTAGTTTCAAACTTATTTTTTTTAAAGTGACTAAAGCAAAATAAAATAGGGAATTGTTGCTCACCAAGCAGCTCAAATGTAATGGTAGTAATTAAGGTGTTCCTGCATGGTAACTTTTCTCATAGAAAGTAAGACTAAGGTCAGCTTGCTGTACAATAAAATAGACACCAGTATAATATATAATAGCGTAGTCGAAGCAGTCTCTTTATAAAAACATATATTATGTAATAACAAACTTTGCCAGCTGGTGCTTTAGGCGTGTGACCTTGGCAGCAGTACATTGTAATAATCCAGCCGTTCCCAACCTCTGTTGAGCCGAGCCACATTTTACATGATAACAAAATCACCCGTACGCCACCAGACAAAAATGTAAATTAGGTTACGTTAATTTTACTATCTGCAGTGTAGCAGAATGTCATTTCATTGCTCCGCTTGTCAGTAACCGTTGCTGGCATAGATTGATGAGCAAATTTGTAGTGGCAAGCCCTGATAGGGAAATGCCAAAAGTCACTTTGTCTCATCATTTACAGACTAATTAACTTTAATTCGCCACGGCATCACACACTGGTTGGGAATCACTGACGTAATTATTTTTTGACGAGGGGATGTCGCGATCACATTACTGACATTTTAACATCGAGTCGCATGATTTTCGAACCATCTCCGCACACATTTCACCTATTGCGGCCTATAAAACGAGGCATTTTTTAAATAACAATTGTGACTTAATTTATTTCATGTATTTTCTTTCCTAATTTGTTATCCAAACATTTTTCTGCATTTAATTAACCTGCCAATCTTCTCCCCCTTGCCAGGCATACGTGTGTTAGTGGACGCTCGCGAGAAGCTGCACATCCCATGGGGGGACCCGGGCAACCAGCAGCGCGGCGACAAGCTGATGGCGTTTGACACGCGTTCGGCCAAGATGGTCCGCGGGCAGTTGGAGACGCCCGTCTTCCTGCAGTACCTGCCCGCCATCAAAGCCCTGTGGGCCGACTCCGGCATCCAGCACGCCTACGACCGCCGTCGCGAGTTCCAATTGGTGAGTCGAAATGCATCGGCTCATAAAATTCAACCTTCTTTTTCCTTGCAGCTGACTGTTGAGTGGACAGTCATGTGACCCGCTCAACTTCCTGTTTACACCTTCCTCTCTGTCATAAGATGCTGACATTCCGCCCAGATGGTCACTATAAGCACAGATTTCAATAACCACGGATTGAGATTCAGTCCGCCCCTTGCGACGTCTGACACTTCATGTCGCTTTCACATGAAAATCCACTTTTTTTTCCTCTTCTTTTTATGGGTTTGTTTGAGTTGCACAACGCTACTGCCGCAGGTTCTCAATGGTGTTTTGTTAACGCCGGAGCACAGACACAAGTGTGATCAGAGCAGGAATGTTGATCTGTCGTTAAACTGCTTTATGCTTACCGGTACAAACGGGTGGGGGTTATTGGCTCGCCCACCGAGTGTTACTTGCGCGGTGAGCTCACGCAGCCTCGCATGGAAATTTTAATATTCTCAGGTTTGTTTATTTATTTGTTAACTATTTCGTGCGTCAATAATGATAACCTGTAACCTGACAACAGGATCGGCTGTCCACTGTAGTCACCGCTGTCGCTGAAAGGGTTAAAATGCATTCCGTCAGTCTCTGTGCTACTTTTCAGGGCGCCGTTGTCATCGATGGAAACAGGAATTGAAATCAATGCGGGGCGATTTTGAACAAAATGAATCTTTCAGCCTGTGGCAAAGAGTAAAATGTATCAGAAAGTGAATTAGGCGAGGTGCCACGTGTGGGCTGGAGGGACCTTTGAATTGGGACAGCCTATGTGGTGGGTGAATGATGTCATCACCCTTCGAGATGCCACACGTTTTTTTTTTTTTTTTTTAATACAATTAGCTTGATAGTTCCATTTGACGTTTTTGGGGCCTGATCTCAATATTCTAATTGTGTGTGTGGATATGCACGGGCTGAGTGTGAAAGGATGCATGCGGGCGCGATGGAGTGCACAAATTTTAATTACGTTCAAGTAAATGAGCGTATCGCTCCATGCGCGCGTGTGTGAGTGAGTGATAAGTTACATAGAAATACAATCGTGTTCCAGTTTTGCTTTCGCAGCAAATAGCAAAAATCTCTTTTTTCTTGTCTCGCTTCTCCTTTTTTATTCCCTCTCTCGTCCCCGTCTGACCGATTTGTCGTCAATTTTGAAACGCCACCCGCGCCTGTTCTCCATCTTGAGTGCTCTTATCTAGTCGTGCATGTGTGCCACCAGTAAGTTTGCTGATTTAGAAGTGTGTGTCACTGGGATTGTTAGCAATTTTTTTTTTGGGTGGGGGGGGGGCAAAGAGTGAAATTAACACAAAATGCATGCAAAGGTTGTTCCAGTGAGAAATTGTAACATAACTGAAACCCCGAGAGAGACACCAGGAAAAACGATAAGGAAAATCACGACACACACACACACACACACATGCAGATAAAGGAATGCATGTGAGTCTCTGTGGTTTCATGTCCAGGCTTGCATTAATTGCCCCCTTCAGCAGAATCTTCCAGAGGATATGCGCACAAGCTAGTGTCTCCATTTTTGTGTGCTCGTGTGACACGTCCAACTGCATCATCCCACATGTGACTTAACTGTAACGTGCTTGTGCGTGTGTGTCTTGCAGGGCGAGTCTGTCAAGTATTTCTTGGATAATCTGGATAAGCTTGGCGAGCCGGTAAGTTTTTTTTTTTTTTTTTTTGGGTGGGGGGGTGGTGTTTTGTTTTTGGGTCGATTTCTACCTTCCATCTACATGCGCTCCCCTGCTCCACCCCACTTTTTTTTTTCTTTTTGAGGTCGCGGTTCCATATCTTGTGTCTAAACAACGACATCGCCGCTGGGGGTTCCGATTTGAATAACCGCCTCACCGCCACGGCATTCGATTCACCCGCAACAATTTATGTTGCTGTTTTAACAACTGTTGAAACTATTGTCCATTGATTTGAAAAATGTTTGCGGCTGTAAACTGCGGGGAGCATTTCTAGTATTTTGTCAGTTCAAACTCATGGTCAGAGAAGATACAATTAAATTATATATCTGTATATATTTCTGTTTTCTTGATGTTAATAAGGATCCAGTGTTATGCAGAGGTGTGCTTATAACATTTTTTTTTTTTTTTACCCTAAAAGTAATGTGTCTGTGTGTCTGCCAGAATTACCTGCCGAGTCAGCAGGACATACTGCTGGCGCGAAAGCCCACGAAGGGAATCCACGAGTACGACTTTGAGCTGAAGAACGTCCCGTTCAAGATGGTGGACGTGGGCGGCCAGCGGTCCGAGCGGCGGCGCTGGTTTGAGTGCTTCGACTCGGTCACCTCCATCCTCTTCCTCGTATCCTCATCCGAGTACGACCAGGTGAGGGGATTTCTGTTCTCTCCGGACCTGACTAGGGTAGCAAAGAAAGACTTTGAAGCAAATTGTAACTGGATCATTTTTTGTGCTGCTACTAATTTCTATTTTACAAGGTGGGGGTAAGCATGACTAACTTGAATGTTCCTCGTAGGTTTTGATGGAGGACCGTCAGACCAACCGGCTGTGTGAGTCGCTCAACATCTTCGAGACCATCGTCAACAACCGCGTGTTTGCCAACGTGTCCATCATCCTCTTCCTCAACAAAATGGACCTGCTGGAGGAGAAGGTGAAGAGCGTGCCTCTCAAGGACTACTTCCCCAACTACAGCGGGCCCGAGCACAGTTTGCCTGACGTGAAGGACTTCATGGTGGAGTGCTTCCGGGCCAAGCGACGCGATGCCACCCAGAAGCCGCTCTATCACCACTTCACCACCGCCATCAACACGGAGAACATCCGACTGGTGTTCCGGGATGTCAAGGACACGATTCTCCACGACAACCTCAAGCAGCTCATGCTCCAATGACCGCCGTGCACGACTCTAGAATAAGAATCTAGTAGCACGCGTCGGCTGCTTTTACAGTATATTAGTCGTGGTTTAGTGGTTTGCGACGCGGGGCCCGCCGACACGATGCTGACGAGACGTCCTTTGGCTACACGCTACGTTAGAACGTTTTACGCGATGGAATCGAGAGAACGCTCAATGTTTTCATCTATGTTGGGCCGTCCGTTTTTTTTTTTTGTTTGATTTTTTTTTTTTTGGTCCAAGCACTGAATTCATGCAAGTAACTCGAGTCGGTTGTTGCACTGTTCCACACCCCCTCTGCTGCTTCGTGAATAGATAAACAGCAGACACTCCTACTTATACCTTGTTTCTCCCAAATCGTCCTGGTCCTGACCTTGTCCCAGGTCACAAGTGTAACATCTGCAGAAAAAAACTGAATGACCCTGTGATGCCTTAAGAGACCAAGTTATTGTGATTCGCAGCCAGTGTGCTTTGTGATCATCAGGTGCGCTGCAGGAAATTTTCCAATTTCACAAATTATGTATTTAATACAATGAATGTCTTTGTTCATCAATATATGCCAGTGACAAGTGAAACAATTAAATGCTCTTCCACTAGATGGCAGAAGATGCGTCATTAACCTGCGTGTCCTCTTTTTGTCACATTTGTTTAGCGTGCTGAGTCATTTTTGCCAATGTAAATACGTGCCTTGCCTCAAAGATTGGGGAAAAACTCAGTTGCAGTGATACCTAACCTTTATTGAGCCAGTGCACATAAATTTACATTCGAAAAATCTCACAGCACACCAAACGAATGTGATAAAAATTTGACAAAAAGCAATCGGCGCTCTTGAAAGGGATTTCAATTGCCTATTGATGCCACAAGATGGCGGAAAAGCAACACTTTCTCTGTCAGACAGGGCTATGGCCTATCAAAATACACCAATGCTCCTTCCCTTATTTCAATGTAATTCCACTGCACCAAAGCAGTACTTATAGGGAAACACTGTATACTGAATGATAATCTAAAATCATGGTCATCAACCAATCAAAAAAAAAAAAAAAAACAACTGGCATAAATACATGAACAATGTTATGGTAAATAATTTTGAAATTTGATAATTCCTACAACACTGTACATTAGAACTTTCTATGACTAATGTGGTAGTATTTTGCCTAATAACCGACACAAGCCTACACTTCTCTCAGGGTTGATTTTTAAAAAGAAGTCAATAATCCACATGCAGGTTTTTGTTTCCATTCTTTGCTAAATACCACACACACACACACACTTTGAGTTTTCCAGTTGTTCCCCCAATGAACCAACCCTGCCCCAAGCTTTTGGTTGTACATAGTCAAATCCGTTTCTGTTGTAAATAATACTTAGGTTTATCTACTTGTATGTAAATGGTTGTAGAAAGTTTTTGTTCCAAATCACTGCGTTTTCCAATCAAGTTTTTTTTTTGTCATTCTTCTGCCATATTTTGTTAAAAAATAATTTCCCTGTGTCAACTCATGCCACTCTAACTTTATCAATAAAACAAACTTTTCAAAAGAAATGTTATTATTCTTTGATGGCACGTTTTTTTTCCAGTTTTAAAATTATTTTACACACAGGTCATATTGAGGTTGCGCACTTGCTTTACCCGCAGGAAAAAATCGCTTGGTCTCGTTGGAAGAGAATTTTTATGCCAAACCGGAAATGCGAATACATCATCATCACATCGCGCCTGCAAATTCAATTAAATTGATTACATTTAAATTCCGTTTTTCCCCCTTGTTGTTGTGTTTTTTTCAGTCTCAATTAAGGCGCTTTGAACGACCAAACGCATTTTAGAGCCAAGTTTAGCCATTTCTGTTCAGGCTTCTGAGTGACCACCCAAAAGTAACTCGGGTCCTTCTACTTGCTGCAACAACACGACCGTGAAAGCTATTCGGCGATTCAGCGTGTCAACCCTCATTGATTGCAATTTATAACTTATAAACTATTACGACTCGTTTAATTCACGCTCAGAAAATATAAGTTATATTATTTTTCTTTTTTTCGTTGGCACGTGCGAAATGAGCCTGGGTAAGTAAAAAAACAAAAACAAAACGTGTCTAATTACTCGTCTAACGGTTCAAAGACAGGTGGAAAATTAAAATAAATCTTTTCACGCACATGGTCATATTGAGTAGTTTAATTAAAAAAGACATATTCATACATTTTGGAATAAAGCTATTTATGAAAAAAGCAAACTGCCATGAATACTTTCTGGATGCACAGTAGCAGGATTATTGTAATTGTGAGGCGTATTGCTCCTCATTTAAGTTCATGACAGCAGCATGTCTAACTATTAACGTGACTTCTAAAAATTCCATTCCATTGATCGTTTCCCCCCTCCCAACTACAGAGGTATGTCCATTCTGTGGCAAGTCCTACAAGAGGTTAAAGAGCCACCTACCTTACTGCAAGGCAGCCAAGCCTCATCCCCTCCACCATGAGCGTCTTGAGTCCCCGCCGTCCGGACGACTAGAAGCTGACTCGTCTAAAATGAAGGGAAAGAAGAAGAAGACGACGCCGCTCAGTGAGAAGGCATCACCAGAGGTACCTGGGAAAAACGGACAAACATCCACACTGTCGAAGCCAAAGAAAAAGAGCATTCACACCTCAATCGAGGTGGCAAAGTCCAGCCAAATTTCTCCAGGATCGGATTCAGCTCCACAAAGTCTGGAAACTGTCCCTCTAATAGCCACAGGCAAAAAGTCCAAATCCAAAACCTACTTGCCTGAAGAGTCCCCAAAACCCCAAAGTGCCTCTAAAAAGAAACAAATCAAATCCGCACAAAAGGAAATAATGGACAAAACAAAGGACATGCCCAGGATTACACTCCAGCACGTTGGCAGCACATTGGGTCGGGCCAAGACCAGCAGACCCGTCTTCCACATTGAAACCACTCAAATGAACACTAAATCCAGTCCAGATTTATGTCCGACAAGTACAAGTACCGTACAACCAAAACAGTCTCTACATTTGCAAAAGGATGATTTGTATGGATCCAAAGCAACCCCTATTCAGCCTCCGCTTCTACCCAACCTCCGAACATCCAAAGTTGTTTTTCAACAGACAGAACTCACTTCAATGTTAACAGGTTGCCTTTCCAACCTTCAGTCCAAACCCGAAGATGCATTAGTGACAATAGAAAGGAGGAAAGACAACTCCTCAGGTCAGTATTTGACCTTACTGTGCAAAACACACACACACACAAAAAAAAAATCAACTGCAATATAGAGCTTGTTTAAAAATAAAAACAAGTGTTGCATTTATAAAGCTAAAAACCAAAACACAATTTATATAAATCCCAAATATATGTTTAAATGCATTTTATATAATCTTGTAGCATTAGAGTCAAAAGCATACCACATCCTCGTGGACAGCGTCTCATTTTTGCAATGCAGGACGCAGCCTGGGTCAGGTGACGTTGAGGGAGCTTCCTGAGTGGATGGCCTGCAGGATGCCGCGCCGCCCGGGACACGCGGTGGAAATGATGCAGAGAGGTGAAGAAACTATAAATATACTCTCAACAGTCACATAATTAGGTACTCCTATGCATTGGGTCTGTTAAAAATCTGCTGTGCGTCCCCTACAGGCTGGCAGTGGTACTACAGAAAGTATATTGACGTGAGGAAAGGCGGCGTGGGCGGCCTTGGCATGCTGCTGGCCGGATATTGTGTGCTCAGCTATGTCTGGTCTTACCCTCATCTTAGTAAGCACACACATATCATGTCTTTATGGTGTCAAGACTTGGGATTAGTTTTTAATTGTTTCTTTGTTGTTTTTTTTTTTTTTTTAGAGCATGAGCGCTGGAGGAAGTACCACTAAGACCAGAAGTATATGCGAAAACCAAAAAAGTGCATAATAGAAATAAACAAACGACGAATAATCTACTGAAAAAAGTGTGACCCAATGTACGTTTAATAATTGTTGTCGCCCCTTTTTGCCAGTTATCGACGATAATCGCCACTTTACAGGAGTTGAAGTCATTTTATTCAAGTCACACCCACTGTCGCAGTACCTCAAGCCTCCACTGGTCGTCGCTGTTAAGAGTCGTGCGCTCATGCATCACGTGTGCTGGCTTTGTAAGAGGATTAAAATGGAACAGACACAGTATTTAGATGGATACATTTTCTATTTCAGATCTGTCAATGGTGCAGATATTCAGACATATGTCCCCCCCCCCAAAAGTTCCTCCCACCCAGCTCAGATTCGCTTGACCAGAATACCAATGGAGACTCTTGCCGTGTTTGTATTCAAAATGAATTTATTGTTGCTGCTACGGCAACACAACAATGAACGACTGACGCAAACATAATACAAAATAATTGCCATTTTCTCTGATTGTTTTTTTTTAAACATTTTTCCTCTTCCATACAAAAATTATAAATATTTTTTTGTTTGTTTATACAAAACGACAAACTATACAGGATCAAGTCTGACAATACAAATAGAAAGCACGGGCCTGTATAGTGATGACAGAATGGCACCGCGGGGCTTAAAAACATTTTTTTGCTTGATAACCGGACATTGTTTAATGCACAGCAGCGGCTAGAAAATGACGGACACTCCGTCCATCTATTTTCTGTAGCGCCTGTCCTCATGAGGGTTGCGGATGAGCTGCAGACTGACTTTGGAGCGAGAGGTGGGCTACAGCCTGGACTGGTTGTCAGCCAATGACTTGCAGGGCACATTTAGACAAACCATTCACACCCAGAGCGAAGAACAATTTAGAGTAGTCACTGAACCTAAACTGCATGACTTTGAAATGCGGGAGGAAGCCAGAGGAGAACATGCCAACTTTGAGATTTGAACCCTGAACCTCAGAACGAACGCACTAACTACTAGTACACCATTAATGGTCGCTGAGAAAAAAAAAAGGGGCCTTCAGTCTGCGGTTGAAGCTCACTCGCAGGTTTAAACATTGGACTGAAATGGACTGGATTGAATATCTTCAGTCTGAATCATTCAAGCTTGATTTTCACAATGCAGCAACAAAGAGTTAGTTTGAGTCCCGTGTGACATCAATAACAGATGCTTTGTTTTGGTTGTGCTGTTGAGAACAAAGAAAATAAAAGCGGACAAGACAAAAGCATACAATCAATGAATCCTCCAGTTTAAAACCAAAGTAAATAAAAAAACAGATTAAGAAAATATGAGCAAAGTAACTTCCTCAATCTGAGGATTAATCTCCCCCTGGTGCAAACACAGTGAAATGATAGGCGAGTTTGCGTGTTTGACGTGTAGGGGCTCGCGTACCTTTAAGGTACAAAAAGAAGGGGAGTGGGGAGGAGGGGAAGCCAAAGAAAATGCCAAATAAAAGTGAGCGCGTGTGGCATGGTGGCTTACGGGACGCTTGTGTGCAGTCCGATGTAAACGGCTTTTAGTGCAATTCGTCAAGGAAATTTCGGAATCTTCGTGTAAACCGTTTGTAATAAAAGCCGAGGAGGCACGGAGTTGCCACAGCGAACATAGAATTATGGATCTTTCAATTGCACAAATTCCCACAGCATTGTGGGTGATTAGAAGTGCCTGTTTTCAGAGTATAGGAGGTCCTCGTTTTTTTGACGCTTGGCCAATACGAAAAACGACAGCGTTCTTGAATTGTTAGTTATGGCACGAGAAGGCACGCTCAGTCGCCGCTGTACTAACCGTTCGTTGAATTGTTTTATAACTATGGCCTAAGTCTTTTCATAGAAACGTTATTTGTACTTATGACACTTTTGAGGATCTGAATGTCGCGTCAGGAACAAGTTTGCATAGTGGCATAAGAACACAGCGGTCACGCGACAGAATAAGGCACGCTGAGATAGTGCTGTATTTACGGTTCATTGGTTTTATATTTAGAGTCTAAAAGTGTTTTTCATGCAGATACCGACGGTAATTTGAGGTTCTGAATGGTGAGTAAATGAAGCCGTTTGCGCAGAGGTGTAAGAATACGTCACTACCAGGCGGTGCCACCGTACTTCCTGTTTTTCATTTATGTCCTAGAATTGTTTTTCATTTACTGTAATGGTGACATTCCGAGGTTACGTACAGCACAAAATCAATTAATTTTTCGTATCAGCACAATAAATAAATCACGCAGCACAATAAGGCACACTCAGTTATCGCCGTACTTAGGGTTTATCATTGGAGTGTTTTTAGATTTATGGCCTACAGGTGTTTTTCAAATTATGACTTTCGTTATTTTGAGCTTCCGAACGGAGCGTAATGAAGTCGTCGGTGCCGCGGCGGAAAAATAGTCACCACCGTCTTTGCTGGCCTGCAAGTGTTTTCATTTGAAATATTTACAATAATTCTGACTTCACTAATTCATTAGTGTCAACTACACGACGCATTCCGACCAGTTCCGCTTCCTCAGAAAAGAAACTCCGTCATAAACCGAGGACCCCCTGTATCTGCCAAAATAAAACAAAAGTAGTGCTACATCAAGAGCAGGACAAACTACACGAATCGACTACCAACGAAACTCCATGTGGTTTGTTAACATTCCAGGATGCTGTTGACAGCCGCCTCCAGAGCAGAGTCTGTGTCCAGGTGTGCGGGCGAGGCCGCCTGGAGGTGCGTGTGACCCCCTGCAGGTGCTGCAAAAGATGAGTGGTTACCTTCCTGCCCCAAATGCTGCTGCTGCTGCTGCTGGGATCGCTTCAGTTCCAGGACGCTCTTGTTCTCCACAGATGAAGCTTGAAATCGATCACCACCACCGCCTCCTCCTCCCGGGTCGCAAAAGCCAGGCTGGGAGTCTGTCCTGTATGCCGGCTCATCTGAGTCTGTGTCAGGCGGTGGCGGCGGAGAGGGCACGGGATCTTGCAAATGTTTGGATTTCGGTCCGCAACAGAAGTCCTCCAAGAAAGCGTCTGGGAGAACAGAGCAGACAATGAGATCTTAAATGGACTCAAAACATGAGGGTCAAGGATTGGTACCTGGATCCACAAGTAGCATGCGCTTGTCCTGGGTCAGGCAGCTCCGCTCCTCTTGGTTGAAGGTCCTGTCGATCATCACCATCTCTGATGAAGGACTGGAATGCTGCCCGCAAGAAAAGAAGAGGACTTGCCAGGTTTTTGACAGTGCCCAAATATGGTGACAGAAACGTTTTCAACAGCCATTAAAGAGACGTTTAATTTATATGTTTCATATTGACAGAAAAATGTAATGTTTTGCAACTCCATAAAATACATTGATGTGAAGGTGTCACAATCCCCAAAAAAGCATGCAACTAAAACTTGGGGTGGAGGGGTACTTAAATGAGTGTTATAGTTAAATCAATTTTTTTTATCCATCTATTTTCAATGCTATTCCCAGCTGATTTCAGGCAAGAGAAAGGGGCAACTTAAGAAATATGCAAAATAAAATTTGTGACGAAATTTTTCCATTTGATGGGAATAGGCTACATAAAAAAAAAAAAAAAAAAAAAACATTTTGGATGAAAACAACATTGCATCTCCATAATAAAACAAATAAATAAAAATACCTTCCACAACCAAAAATATTTAAAACATTTATTTTTTTGTTTTTGGAAGCTTTGAAAACAGTATTTGTTTTGGATAAAGGCACTAAAATAGGGGAAAAATACATTTTAAAGTAATGGTGGAAATGCAACTGTCCAATACCTCGGATTCAGCCAAAAGCAGTCGTCGGTACTTATTGATCATGGCCTGGGTCCTCATCAACACGTGCGTCGCAACTGACTCAAACTCCTCATCCACTGTCAACACAAGAGTAGAAAATTTAAATGGCTGCTTCAGAAACAAAAATGGGGGGGGGGGCAAGCTACCCTGTGAGAACTCCTCCTGGCTGGGTGGCGTGCCTTGGAACACGTGGAAGGGCAGGAGCCGTTGCAGCGCATCACTGAACGACGTAAAGTGTCGCCGGTCGGGCATGTCCACCCTCTCGTGATGTTCCCTTAGCTGCTGTAAAATCCTGAAAAAAAAAAACATAAGAAAACCTTTACATTTATGAATTTATCATTTCTAATTCTGCTGTTTGGACAGGTGATTGTTTCATGATGTACTTGTGTGTATGCCGTGAAATTTTATGACTGCATTATTTCTAGTCAGTCTCGAGTGTGCGAGCTGTGAAGAAGCGACGCCATTACTGCGACCGTGTCACATACTGTATCAATGCTGAACTCACATTCCTCCTTTGGTCAGCGGCGCGGGCCTCTTGTGTGCGCTGAGCTGCACTTGTTTGACGGCAGCTCCAGAAGCATTCTGGGAAATCAGGAAGTGATTTGTCAGACTAACAGAGACTCTGGCTATATTCGGAATTGTTCATGACATTTTCAGTATGACATCAGTAGCTCCCTTTTCAAGATGCATGGTGGATTCATCGAGGCCACTATATAAGGGACCATTTTTGCCCACTAAACATTTCAACAGCATTATAAAACGGTTCGGCGACAATAAAATAAACTTAACAGTAGATAGTGATTCCAAACACAGCTACTGAAGCAACATTCCAGCATTGCTCTCACCTGTCTGTGTTCTTGTGCTGGCGTCGCTGTGTTGGGTAAAGGGGACAGTGATGTACAGTTAGCCGTTTGCGTCACTAGGAGGCGCTGCACGGGGCTACCGGAGAGCTGCCCCTGACTAACCAGTGCAAGCCGGCCCGCGGTGCACGTTGTGGGCGCGGTGCCCTTCCATGTTTGTGTCGCGCCGCCACTCGCCACGCCCTGATTCAAAATGAGCTGCCCGCTCGCTTGCGCTGTAATTTTTTGCCCGGCAACAATCTGCACCGCATTGTGGCCAGTGATATTGGCAGCGGAGTCTGCGGGGGGGCCGTTGTGAACTGCCAAAGAAGTGGGCAGCAAGTACTGTCCCGTTTGTATGTTGGTATGGGCCTGCTGCTGATCCACCACCAAGGAACCATTGGCGGTGAACTGCGGTGCACTTTTAGCCGTATTTGCCAACGGGGAGACCGCGGTCTGTAAACTGATGACAGTCTGAGCCCCAGCTTGATGCGGTTTAGGCTGGATCGGTCTCACAAGAGTCTGGGTTCCTCCTGGACCTCTCTGAATGATGACGTTCTGGAGGGGAATGTTCTTGAAGCCCACTTGACCAAGATGGCCCTGGGTAGGAGCGTACACCTGTCCGCCTGGAGCCGGAGACCCCGCAGCGGCGACGGGGCCCGCCGGCCTCAGCACAATCTGAGGAGTTCTTTCCAGACCGCTGAGCGTCATGACTCCGCTTCCCGCTCCGAACGAGCCGAGCACCTGGATGTGCTGCGTGGAACCGTTAGGCAACGAGGAAACGCCCTGAAGGAAATGTCCGGCCGGTAACGTGGCCGCCGCCGTGGTGACCGCACCCCCTCCGTAGCCCCCAGAGACCAGCTGGGACGGGAAGGACAAGGGGGCCTGCACGAGGGTGGGCGCGGGCTGCGTGTCCAGCAAGGCCTCCTGCGCCAGCGTCTGCTCAGTGATGTCAGCTTCCAGCAGAGATTTCTGGAGGATATCGAAGGGCTGCTCTTCGCCGAGGTCCACGCCACCTCCGGGTGGGCTGCCGGCCCCCAGGTGGTCCTCGATAAAGGAGAGGCTGCTGGAGAGCTGGAGGCCATCTCTAGCAGGAGCCCCGCCAAACTCGGCCATTGCGGAGGAGCCATCTTTGAGTCCGCCATTTGCCTAAAACGGGGCATTTAGAGAATTTAGGAAGAGTGTTAACATGCGCTGGGGATTGTTACTTCTTTTTAGTGATGCTGTTGCGGTGAACTTTTTGAACATTTAAACAATGACTTGCGTACTCACAGCATCATCACCAGTGAAGAAAGAGGCATCTGAGCCGTATGCAGCATTCGCTACATCGTCCTCTTCAATCTGCAGGAGGGAGAACACACGCTAACGACCACCTTAAGAGTTGAAATGTCATGTACACATGCCAAACATGTAACTAGAAATCTTTTTATTTTTAAAGAGCCACTCACGGACTTGCTGTTGTTGCCGTGTAGGTAGTCATTCAATGCATCCACATCTCTGAAAACAAAGTAACTTCATCAAGGTCAATGATCTTTAACAATAACTGAACAAAAATGTTGCATTTATGCCTGGTTGGGCCTACTAATTAAACTGTTATGAAATACAATGTTGAATGTTTTTATTTTACCCTAAAATATCCAGAAGATGGCGATCATCCTCATCATCCATGACACCTGAAGACAAAAGGACATTCAGGGTATCAGGTGTAAGTCACTTTGGCTTACTTTATTGCCATACAATCACTGATCGCTTCAATAAGTACAAGGCTGTATCAATACTACCTTTAAAACACAAAAATGCTCAGTTTTATGGTCACAGTGAAAGTACTTATATATGTGAGTTAGTTTGTACCACAGTACAGTCAGGCCTTTCGGCAACTGCTTGTGATTTGGCCCTATGTGAGCAACATTTAATGTAATGGGGGTTCAGGGATGCTAAATGTTGTGCCCAACATGTGTGTGTGCATTCATTATTTTGCCTCACTCACTGATTACTGTGAGGCCACATGGATCCAGTCATCTAACACCCTACGTTTCCAGTCACTGAATGGGCTGCAGGGGGGGAGGTGATGATTTGACAGTGATGTTAAGTTAAAAGCAGACACAGCGTAGGAGAGCTAAAAAGATGATGCAGAGTATCACCATCTGTGAACAGTGTGACCTTCTTTCAGACATGACCACTGTGACACACTACATCAGCGGCCACACCAATCCCCTCACATAGTGAAAAAGTACATCTGTGCGGAAGTAACCATACCATGCTCTAAATAACCTTGAACGGCAGACATAATGGATGATTGGCTTTATTTTAGCCATGAAGTGGATTGTTTGGCAAAGAATAAAAGGGGTAAAAAGACTTGATGCCAGTACTTGAGAAGCAATAATATTGTAACATTCATTTTTGGTGCATGTGTCCAGGAGCAACAGAGATTTTTTTTTCTGTGGTAAAACCAAATGCTTACTTTCCATGCAGTGAGTAATGTGCGGCTTAAGTGACATTTTCAACACAGGACACGCTAAAGTGACAAAATGGCTGCTGGTAAAGTCATACCGTTGTTTTTTGTTTTTTTTTTTTGCGCTGACTCGCTCAGACTCCATCTTTGAACCACCCGGGTCAACAACAGAGCTGAAAAATGTTCTTAAAGATATTTTCGGAGCAAAAATCATCATGCAAAGCTATACTGTTACCAAAAATCAAGCGTTGAACTGCCACTGTTCGGAAAAGGGGCTTTTAATTTTGGGAGAAATATTGTTGGGACGCCATTATTGTTTCTCACATCACAAGGAAGGTAAAATACAAAAACATTTAGCTCACACTCCTATATACTTGTAAAAGGTACTCGTTTATTTTAGGATCAATTTAAAACAAAAAGGCTAACGTGAAACCTAAGAACGGGTCCGGAAGGGCGTCGTGGCCAAAGAACAATAGTGTGAAATGGCGTCATAGCTAAAGAAGTGTGGTAGGTTAGTCACAAAGATAGCATTTGAAGAAAAGGGTAGGGCAACAAATTAAATTTATCGCTGTTCGGGACGAAAAAGGCAAAAGGACTCCAATCCAGCTTCAATGCCTTGAATGTCCCGGACAAAGCTCGAATTGCCCTTCAAGTCCCCCCTAGCTCGAACGCCATGTTGTCCGGGCGCATTGGAAACAAAACTCCTCCAAAATGAGCCGACAAACTCAGCTAAACGTGCAGCCTGTAAGCTTTTATTTCCAAATATAGCCCAGAATCGACATAATCGCAATCAGGGTGCCAGTCGACGTGGTTGCCTTGACGCGTTTTGGGCAAGGCTTTCTCACTCATCCCGAGCGGCGCAAAACGTCACATTTCCCCCGGAGCCAAAGCTGTGCCGGGCGGGTGTACTCTCTCTCGAACCCGGTCCTCGTCCCAGTCAGTTTCGTTCGCTCTGCAGACATTTTACAGGGCCAAACGGCCGTTTTTTTCTGTTAGCTAGCCTGCCGACGTGTCGTCGACGCCCTCCCCTTTTGAACGCGCAGTTAGGCGGAAAAACGAATCTATAAATATTTATCCCGATTAGCATAACATAAGGAGTCGCGGAGGCAAACCCTTTTTTTCTTTACTCCCTTCTCTACTCCACTTGAAACCCAATATCTCCATTTGGCCAACTTTTAATTCGCTCGCCCCCTCCTTCTCCTCCTCCTCCTTCTCCCTCTCTCCCACCACTCGCGTTATTTCGCCTCGCTCCTGTCTCCCCACACTGTGGTGCCTCGGCTCCATTTTCAAAGTTGTCTCCCTAACCCTCCCCGAAGGAGGAAGAGGGAAGGAGGCCGTGTTTTTTCCCTTGCAATTTTTATCCCAAAATGATAATACACTCAAAGGGGGAACTCACCGTCATGAAAAAGCAGTGCCTTGTCAACGGGGTTTCCTCGCCATGGCTGCACGGGCTGTGGGGGCTAGCGCGCGCGCCGCTGGAAGAACAAGTTCAAGGAGGGCACAGCAGCACCGGCGGCCCCCCTCCCCCACGTACCACAATCCTGCTAGTGCGATCATAAAAGTTGACATGATGGGGGGATTGGGTCCAAAAAAAGATTAATTAATGTTCACTGAATTAAAATACCACGCTTTACGTACTGCAATTAGTGAACTTTGTCCAGCAGTAGAAGGCGGGCCTGTGAAGCATGACGTCACTCGTGACAAGGGACTGTATATAAAGGTGTGGCACAAGTTACCTGGCAGTAGCGCTCATCTTTCATACACAGGACAAAAAGTTTCACATACACATTTTATCGTTTTTTTGCTGTCCATTCGCAACTGTTCACACAAACTGACTGCATTTGAAGTACAGCAGTGGTCCTCACTTTTTAAACCCAAGTTCCACCTAAAAAAATTCTAGGTTCTCCAAGTACTGTGCAGTGATTCGTTGAGACACAATTTTAATCTATACTATGACCAGTCTCATGACATAAAATATTTGTACAGTATCCTTAATCATCTTTCCCCATTCTTATGTGAGCACTACAGTGAATAGGTAGTGGTTACCACATCTGCCTCACATTTGATTTGCGAGAATGCTGAGGGTTATGTCTCTTTTGCCACCCATAAAAACATAAATTACTACTGTCCTATAAGTCATTTTAGTCAGTTTTTGACTTGGTGATACATACACAACCATTCAAAAGTTTGGGGTTCATTAAGGAATGTCCTTATTTTTTTAAGAAAACAATTTTCAACAATACCTTACTTACTGCACCTTAACTTGAGCAGCTCGCCATTACCAGCTGATCATCCGTTAACTTCCACCGCTGCCAATAACGATGGGGACCTTTCACTGCATCATATTAAGAAGTTAACCATCATGATGGCCAGCTGGGGAAGTCCTGAGGACAAGCAATAAATAAGGTGAATTAAAAAAAAAATGCACATTGGACAATATTGACATGCTGTATTGGAATTGGTCAACTTTTTCCAATATTAGAGGGCAGAAAAAATGCAAAAAGGAAAACTGAATTTAAAAAAAACTGAAGAAAAACCTGGTTATTGTATTGATTCACAGCATCATTTACCACGGTGGTTGTGGCCCACAGTCTTATTGCTTCAAATATTTTGAAATCTACGAGAGTCAAAATATTGCAAACATCAGTCTTATTGCTTCAAATATTTTGAAATCTATGAGAGTCAAAATATTGCAAACATCCATACATACCGAGCATATACACTAACATTCATGCCTCTGAAGAATCTAGTCTTCAATTGACCGAACATGCATGTTTTGAGGGTGTGGGAAGTCACCCACGCAGGGAACATGCAAGCTCCATACAAGAAGGCTGGCACAGAGATTCGTGCTCTAAACCTCAGAAAACAGATTGTGTCACCTTAAATGTATTTTATTACACTGTATTTTCATGCTGCATCTTCGATCATAGGGCCAACGCATCAAAAATGGTATACAGATCCTACATATTAAAAATAAATCAATAAGAAATTACAGTATATGGCATAGGGTTTTGTATTTGTCAAGATTCTCACACCCCTCCATGTTGTCCTGGTCAAAGAGAACACGTCACGTTAAACATCAAACATTAAAGTCAAGTAAAAAATAAAAATAAAAAAAAAAGGCCAGGTCGTGGTTGCTGAGCATCTAATACGCAAACACTGCCCCTGCTTTTCTACTCCCACTTACAACGTGTAAAGGTACGTTTACCAACTCATTACACGCGTGGACAAAACAATAACGCTCCCATTGATTGTTGGATATTAATATGACAAACGAAACGAAAACTTGACGCGAAAAAATATTTTTGTACTGTTGTAGTGCCGCCATCCTGAGCAGGGGGCGCAGGACGCCATCAACATCAAAACGAAGAAGAAAACGACTGTCGTCATCACAAGGCGACAACATGGAAGCGGCGGACGAAATGGTCCAGACGGACGAGCCGGAGAGTCATTCGGGCGCGTTTAAAATGAAAGAGCGGCTACAGAAGCGCCACAAAGCGAGGTTGGAGGATGTGGAGCGGCGAAAAGAAGCCAGAGAGAACCAATCGGTCGCCAAGGAAAGCGTCGACTACTTCTTCAGCACCTTCCACGGCGAGCGTGCTGCCGTGGAAGAGCTGCTGTGCGGATGTTTGGGCGCGGACGAAAAGGCGGTGGCGCAGAGGCTGGAGGAAGCTACGAGCAAAACGGTACAGATGCAAAAGTTCCTCAACGACAGCATGGTATTTCTGACCACCTACGACCAGCGGAAAGCCCAGATGGCCCTCCAGAAGCTGCAGACATGTCTTAACGAGACGAGGGAGCAGGCCATGCCCAAGAAGAAATTCGGCTTCCGGGCTCGCACCAAGGCATCATCAGCCACAGCGGAGGACTCTGTCGTCTCTGCCCCTGCAGATCACAGCGCTGCACAAGTGGATGGAGACCCTGCTGGTGCACAGTGCGGCTTCTCAAACATGAGCGACATGGTCCTCGTGAAGACGGCGGAGGACATCCAGAAAGAGGATGTGCTTTTGTCCTACCTGTCCAATTGCAAGGTGCGCCTTTACGGCGCGCCCAGCACACTGCACCTGAAGCACATCGACCGCTGTGAGATCCTGTGCGGGCCCGTGTCCACCTCTGTGTTTGTGGACCACTGTGAGAGCAGCACCCTGGCTGTGGCGTGCCAGCAACTGCGTACCCACAACACTAAAGATACATTCGTCTACCTGCACGTCACGAGCCGCGCCATTGTGGAGGACTGTCACGGCATCAGCTTTGCACCCTACTCGTGGTCTTACCCCAACCTGGACGAGGACTTCCGTGCGGCCGGCCTGGACGCAAAGCAGAACAACTGGGAGCTGGTGGATGATTTTAACTGGCTCGCTGCAGGGACGCCGTCGCCTAACTGGACCGTGATGCCCGAAGCAGACCGCAAGACCACATGGGACCCTTAGGGTCCCCTCTGTGCCTTAAAATTGCATTGAATTGTAATATGATAGAATGCATTGAAAGAAGTACACTCCTTGTCTGATTATTTAATAAATGATGCATGTGTAAAGAGTGTAACCTGATTTACTCTCGGGGTTTAACAGTATATACATTTTTTAGATTGGATTCATTTATTTGAAAGGGGACAGTGAAGTGGTTTAAAAAGCCAGAATTAGCCAAAAGGTTTTTTTTTTCTTTTAATAAAGATTTTTATTTTATGTGTAACATTTGGAGAGTTTTAAGGCAAAATCTTTAACGGTGAAATGTATTAGATTTTTGTTCAACCTCGCACAATTTCTTTCCTTGCTGTTCTCTTAACCAGGTAGACGAATGTTAAAATTCACAACATGTGGACGATCCATGAATCGACTAAAGACATTTCCAAGGTGCATTAAAGTTTTGAGATGGCCAAACTAAATTCCTACGTAGTTTATCGAGTGCATTATCAGTTTATCTTGATATTTCACCTGGAAGCTAACTATACTGAAATTTTGTGATCGGTGTACAGTATCTAATTTAAATTAAAAATTAAATTAAGGGACAACACATTAGGTACAAACTGCATAAACAAACGACAGCAAAAATTTTTTTTATACATATGTAATTTTTTTTTTTTTTGACGCAGCTCTTCTATTAGACGTAATTGGATTGTGTACTTCTAGAAGTGTCCAGTGGGTGCACAGGAATAGTATTGGCTGTATTTTTTGTGTGATTGCTGACGATCTCCTAGTGGCCTCCAGCAGTGAAGACATCCGCTTTGTCTTGAACCTGCAGACCCGCAACTGTGAACGGCTACCGGAATAGCGGCGGCGTTCACGCTGCTCGTCTTTGGAGGTCCTGTCATGAGGGTAACCAAGGCGACCACGTGATCACTCAAACCAATTAAGGCCCCCGGGACTGAGCCTTCAAATTGGGCTCATCTTGTGTGGGGGGATTTTTTTTCCTCGCAAATTGGATCAGGCTGCTTACAGGAGCTTAGCATGACGTACAGCAACTTGGCGAGTTTAGTCATGAGGATCCTTGCAGAAATCCTCCGGGCGAAATCTAAGCAAAGTGAACGCATCGAACTGGGAAGTTTTTGGGGCGCAATGGCGGTGGCTTTGAATGAATAAAATCCTCCTTGGGCTCGACGAGGGCACGGCGAGAATGGTCTGTGATGGATTATTGATGCACCAAAGGGGATTGCCGAAGTTCAAACCGCGACTTGGTTATTAAAAAAAAAAAAAGACCACCAGAAGTTCTCCTTGGATCTAACTGGCTTTTTTTTTTTTTTTTTTTTTTTTAAAGGCCACATCTGGTTGAACAATGGCTTTGATGAAGGTCAAGTTTGATCTGAAAAAGCGTGTGAAGCTCGCCCAGAGCGTGTGGTTTCTGTTCTGGTTCGCCGTCATGGCCGGCGTGCTGGTCTTCAGCATGGGCCTCTTTTTCAAGATCGAGCTGCGGAAGCGCTCGGAGCTAATGGACAATAACGAGAGCCACTTCCTGCCCAACCTTCTCATCGTGATGGGCCTGCTGGCGTGTGGCATCAACGCTTTCGGCGGCAAGGTCTGCTACGACTCTTTGGATCCCTCCAAGTTTGTCAAGTGGAAACCCATGCTCAAGACCTTTCTGATGGGCTGCGTGGTCTTCAACGTTCTACTGGTGGTCACGGCGCTGCTGTGCTTCATCATGCGCATCCCGCTGCAGTTCACGCTGGCCGAGGGGCTACGCAACGGCATGCGCTACTACAAGGACACGGACACGCCGGGACGCTGCTACATGAAGCGGACGCTGGACCTGATGCAGATAGAGTTCCGCTGCTGCGGCAATGACAACTACCGGGACTGGTTCGAGATCCAGTGGGTCAGCAACCGCTACCTGGACTTCAGCGCCAAAGAGGTTAAAGAGTAAGTGGAATTTTCGTATGAATTGAATGTGTCATTTGCGGTGTATTTCGTATCTGGGCCTTCAGTGGAGACTTACGAGACGTCATAATCTAGAGAGGTGCTACATTTATTATTGTACGCATGTCACTGGGGAGTTTTGCTCATCAAAACCTCGAGAGGATGAGTTCAGTATAAGTGGATTTGGGGTGAGGGTAGGTCAGGGCATGTATGTTTTTCTTCCTCGTCCGTTTGAGGATTAGCAGGACAGAAATGGTGACGGCAAATGACGAAGTAGGTGTGGGTTACTGGGCACTTTGGCCAGGGTGCTCGCGGGAGGGGTGGTGATTAAGTGCAGAAAACGATAAGAGGGATCAAAACAGCACAGGGGCAATTCAATTGTCCTCGCGACAATACTAAGTAGATCTGCTGGTAAATGCCAGAACAAGAGCTATTTTTGACCTTGGAAATGACCCCTAACTGCGAGAGGATGTGCAAAATATTGAAATTAGCTGTCGCAGGTGTGTAGCTAATGTTGTGTCCGTTCTTTTAAGTCTTCCCACCATGACTAGTAAATCGCCGGGATTAGCACTTGAAGCATCAGTGTCCTGTCCAATCAGCCCCACTGGGCTCGGGGAAAGCTAATTTGCTGATGTTTTTTTTTACAGCTTTGCAGTTCGATCGAAAAGAACCGAAAGTGATTGTGTTGATGTTTCCGACATGCAGTCGAGGTGGAATGTTGTTCATTCAACATTTTAAGATCTTGGTGGATCCTTTTTAGGGCCCCAAAAGTGGCGCGGTTCTGCGCACTGACCTATATGATGCGTTTCCTGGGTACTCAAAGAGATTTACTCGGTTTGAGTCTGGATTAAGTGTTTCCGACTCTGACCCACAAATGTCAGTCAAGTGTCTGCGGAAAAAGTTCCGGCACTTTGCAACGCGATGTTGACACTGAACTCTTTTCAAGGTTAATCAAGGATGTTCCGAGAACCGATTGTGCTCACTTGTTGCAGTTCAGAGGTGTATAGTGTTGATAATAAATAATGTCCTAACTTTTCAGGTCATAGCTCAAACTTCAAACATTCAGGAAATTATTTTTTGAATGTATGACATAAAACTCTAATCACATTAAAATAAGAATGTAATTCATCTAACATTTTTATTTTATTCGCATACATTGATTGTATTTTTACTGCAAACTAAAAATAATTGCATTTCACACTTTTTACTTGGCGTCCTTAATTGAATGTATTTTTTTTAAATACAGATCACATAAAATGTCTCACATTATTTTAACTTCATTCAAATTGAAATCGATTTTAAAAAAATACAAATAAAAAAATCTGATGAAATATTTACTATTGATATTTTAAGCATAAAATGAAAAAAGACTGAAGCAATGTTATGTTATTGGGCGAACAACACACGATATAATCCTGCAAGGTACACTCTACACGCTAATAAAAGTGTAATATTTGTTTCCTAGCCGCATCGGGAGCAACGTGGACGGCCAGTACCTGATGGACGGTGTGCCCTTCAGCTGTTGTAACCCGGGCTCTCCGCGGCCGTGCATCCAGCAGCAGATGACCAACAACTCGGCGCATTACAGCTACGACCACTACACCGAGGACCTCAACGTGTGGAAGAGCGGCTGCCGCGACGCTCTGCTCTCCTACTACGGCGGCATGATGACCACCATCGGCGCCCTGGTGCTGCTGGTCACCCTGTTAGAGGTCAGGCAATGTAACAATGACACCAGAAGCGGAACCAAACGACCACTCAGCAACGATATTAATATCGGGCCTTCTCATGGAGCTCAATGTGACAAAGAAAATACTAAAAACTCCTCAGTACGACTACTATGTACACAGCGGTGTCAAAAGTCTGGCCTGGGGGCCGTTTGTGTCACTTTTTTTGTTGTTGTTGGCCTGCCAAGTGTTTAAATAATAAAAGTAAACATGCTCCACATCAGAATATAAGAATGCATTTAAATTTGTTTAGGATTCAAAAACACAAAAGAGACGTGTCCCACCCCCCTTCTTCAGTCAAAGTCAAACTATTCTTGGTATAAACATACAATCAATATTCATAAAACAGTGCAGACTGTATGAAGTGTGAGAGGAAAGTATGACGGCAGGACTTCATTGTTGTCATCGCATGGTGCGAGGTGAGCAACATTTGACACAGTTGGTGTTCCCATCGCCCACTTCCTTTTCCTCGTTTGCACTTGCCGGCCCCACTTCCCGAAACAATCTAAAAATAATTCCTCCTTCCCTTCACTATCTCGCATATAAAGAGAATGAATCCCACACCAATCCCTCCTTTTTTTTTTTTTTTTTGTGGCTGCTTTAAATTGACCCCCCCGACTTTTCCTGTCTGAGTTGCAGACACTTTTAGGTACCGTAATATCTTAAATCCAGCAGACAGGAGTTTACTTTAGAAACCTGGATGGAAGGCAAGTCCCAAGAAGGTGATCCAACTTGGAGGAAGCACAGATTGAAAATAGTTATGCAAGTTAACTACGCTGGCACAGATCGTGGACTGATATTATTGACGGTTGACTGGACAGAATATTAGGTGCAGCTGCACATCATTGCAAAAAGGTTACAAGTACACCTCTACCAGGGCCCAAAAAAAAGCCTATTTGGATCAACACCTAATTGCTAGCTTTCATAAATACCTGTTTACATTTTGTCTATATTTGCCATTTTGTTCACTGGAACCACGTTTTCCCCGCCCTGTGACAGATCGCCGTGACAGCGGGCCTGCAATACGTCGACAGTTCGCTGTCCACTCTGGCCAACCCCGAAGACCCGGAGAGCGAGAGCGAGGGCTGGCTCCTCGAGAAGACCGTCAAGGAGACGTTCACCGATATCATGACCAAAATGAAGGCCATGGGCAAAGGCGGTAAAGTCGAGGAAGGGGGCGACGAGGGCGGCGTAGCCACTGTGAGCTGAGTGACCCATTGATTCCCCTCACACCCTGCCAAAACTGACACCGCCACCACGCCCAAACGGAAGTAATGGGACTTGTAAGAGGATTGTTGTTGTTGTTTGGTTGTTGTTTTTTTTTAATTGGCTCATTGCGGGAAATCTACTGTAAATTTGTAGTAAATACAGAGCCGTAGTTTTCCAAGACGGCGTTACGAGTCCACAACATTAGATACACCTCCAGATGAGATCCGACAAAGACATTTGGATGGGGATGGTGGTTACTATGCAACCCCCCCGTCGCAGCAACCCGAGATTCGCAATCCAATTGAAGAGATAAACGATTTATTTTTTTTGTTAATAGGAATATTATACCACAAATGAATTTGGCAGCTAAATATTTTGCCCCCCTCCCCCAAAAGCCCTTCACATCCCCTGTCAGACTTTCATTCGGCCTCTGTATATTTAACAACGGTGTGGCGGTCTTTGTACATAGTGTAGAAACGGCAACGCTGAAGCTTTTTTTTTTTTAAATATATATTTAAATATAATGTAATCTGTTAATATATATATATATATATACACTGTATCAAAATCCATGTAAATGTGTGTATATGGGCTGTGTGTTTAGAAAAACTAATAAAATAAAATAGCGTTTGTGTGAGAAAATGTGGTCGTCTTGTCGTCTTTTGACTTTGCGTCAAGGAGGCCCGAACACACAGCCAGTGCCACAAGGCCCCCGATTAAGTCGACAACCGGATCAAGGCAATTATGCTCTTTACTGCTTTCACATGCACGGACATGGGATGACTCTTCACATGCCCTGATCTAACAATCGTGTGTGTGTATGTGTGTGTGGCAATAAGAATGGTCAGTGTAGTTGTGTGGCACTCTAAAGTTTGTGCTTGTTATTATTTGAACGTAAAACCCACAAATTCTGGTGATTCTGTATTTTTTAATGGACAAAACTATTGGGATGAGTAAAATGTAAAATTTTATTTGGATATAAAAGTCAAGAAATTTGCAGATGCATGCTGTATGAGAACAAATTCAATCCAACAAGTGAAAAGTGAAAGGAAATACACATGCTTTTCCATTCTTTAGCCCTTTTTTAGAGCTATGTCAGCAACGAGACTTTGGAGTGTGTCTTCTTTGCATGGTATTTCAATAGTCTCCAAAGAACATAAAAGCAGGACTGAGTAGATAAGGAGGCTAATCGGATTTGAGATTAGCCTGAGTCCCCTTCAGCCAGGTGAGCGGCTGATGTCCTACCGCGAGCACTTATACGTCACGTACATGCAAGAATCAGGGAGGGGAAGGCACATGGGGAGACGAAAAACAGGGAGTGGATTTGAATTAATGCCGCTATCTGTCTGTCTGTCTGTCTGTCTGTCTGTCTGTCTCTTCGTCTGTTTACAAGTCAAAAACCTAATCGACATAAATGATTGATTATGTACTATTCATTATGAATTAAAATAAATTCTTTTTTATGTTGAATGCAGAATAACCAAATGTTTACAGTGCAGTGTTTATTTTCAGTCAGGTGAAGCTATTGCCCATCACCTTGTTGCTCTGTCGCCCCCTGTAGGTGACTGTAGGGAAGGCACATAAACTTTTGTCCACCCATTTGGTTTAAACAGAAGAAGTTGCTTGCGAGGTCATTTGCTACAATTTCCCGCATGTAGATTTTCTAACACTCACCTTTTTGGTGTTTTCCTCATGTTTGTGTCTTTTTCCACATCTTGATCAGAGATAGTTGCACCCCTCGTCCACAAGAGGGCGTCTTTTTACAAACTGGCACTGATGAAAAACAAAAGTGAAGACATTATTTTTTCATACACAAACACCTGATGGCATTCCAAAGACTTTAACATGAGATGGGCAATTAATATTTTGTCATTTTATCAGAAATATCATCACACCTGTTGAAAAGGCTTTAATCAGCATTTTTTTCTGAAATATAAGTGATTTAGCTATGAAACTATTTTATGTTATTTGGGGAAAAAAACTCATTTGGAGATACATGAGTTTCAAATGGACAAAGGTTTTGCCTTTTGCCTTTGCCGTTGCCTTTCTAGACCTTTGGCGTGTGTCTGTTGGGATTCGCTGCCTTTTATTTACATATATTCCATACTTAATGTTTGCCATTCCAATGACAAACGTAAGACGGACAATCAATCTTTTGGCATTTTATCACAAAATGCCATCAGTTATGTGCACATATGCATGACGGGAGCACACTAGCTTTGAAAAAGGCCTTTCAGAACTGATTAAATTATTCAGCGCGTGCATCATATAATGACGCATGTATGGAGGTATGTATGCATCTTGGCAGCTCCACCGTGATTGACATGTGCTTTGATTTGAAGTATGGTGAGTGGAGGGGTGGGAGTGGGGACGGCAGGGGGTCTCTAGCTGCTTGACCTTCGCCCAAATGGTCAGGAGCACCGCGGCTCTCACAACAACCATCGCGTCTCACTTTACGCCTCGCCCCGGCTGAATAAATATGGCCGATAGAAAGCAAAGCAGCAGAGAGAGCGGGTGAGCGTGAGGCCCGTGACTGGTAGATGTGTGGCGAGCTACTCAGAGGGGCATTGTTGGGGAGCCATGAGAGGACAATGCACAGCCCCCGCCCTGAATACTCGCCATACCAGCTGACCAGCCATTACCATGCTGCCCCGTCACAATTCACACACACAGAGATATAGACAAGGCCGTATCCCACCCGCCAACTGCTACACACACACATACACACACACCCACACACACACGCACACGCGCACACACACACACACACACACACACACACACACACACACACACACACACATTGTCTCACATACGTGTGTGCGTGTGTGATTTACAGCAGGTTATGTTTAGACTCTCGCACCTATCTGTTCCTTCAGCGCTGACATTTCAGGCAGCCACCCAGCAAGAACAAGCGCACACTTCACGCCGCCTTGTTAGTTCAGCAAAGCATCCACCTGGTTGCACAGCCGCAAGATGCCTGGGTGTGCCATCCCACTAGCCTTACTTCCCTGGAAAGAAAACAGAAGATAAAACACATGACGGACACTTGTTGCCTTTCAAACAAAAAAAAAAAAAAAACACTGTCGCTTGGTGGACTATTTACTGTGCTGCGAGGCAAAAACTTAAAATTTCGCATGATTATTGTTAAATGTTCTGTTTATAAATGCCTTTCAGTGTTGTGTGAAGCACATTTGAGTTGCCTTGTCTATCCATCCATCCATCCATCCATGTCAAATATCTAATTCTCAATAATTTGTGGATACATTCTGTTAAATGTAAATTAAAAATACACACTTATTTATGTTGAAGCTGGGGGGGGGGGGACAAGTGTTCTAATTTGTAAAGTAACAGTATGCTAAACGATGTGGCCAGTTAGCCAGCCTTCCAGCTGAACAAGCCGGCTACACGCACGCACGAACGCACGCACGTACGCTCCCGCCCCAGGTCGAACGGGACAGATGAGGTGAAGCAACAGATGCGCATACCTTCACGTTGCCTCGCATGTTTTGTTGTGCGTGCGCGTGCGCGACGCCACGCGGAAGGGAGGGCGGGAGGCGTTTGTAGTATGCGCCGCTCAATGAGGACGAGCACGAGCCTCCACCCCTCAGGCGTTGGCGGCGACGCGCAGCGCGCTCCCCGGAGCCCCACTCGTGCTCACCCGCACTACTGTAATCATATGATACCGAGCCCGGGTCCGCCGCCACCAACTTGTTCGCGGTCCACTTCGAACAACTCTCCCAAGGAACTTTTCCTCCCCCCTCCCTCCATCAAAAACAACTTTAAATCGCTGGGGCTGGTCGAGGAGGGGCTCGCATCATCCGGAGACGAGTCGGGCTCGGAACCGAGCGGGGGGGGGGCGGCTGTGATTTGAAGAGTAGCCGCTTGAGAGACACGCTCGTCGGCCGGAAGACGGTGGTGTCCTGGCATCGCTTTTTGGGGACTTTTTTTTTAACACACCCCACCACTCTTCTACATACTACTTTATATTTAAATCCAAGCAGAGTGCTTTTGCATCGACACTTGAGCCATGGTCGGGGAGACAGAGGTGAAGGAGAGACCCAAGTCCAATCCGGACTACTTAATGCAACTGATGAACGACCGGAAGGTGATGAGTTCATTACCCAACTTCAGCGGCATCTTCACACATCTGGAGCGGCTGCTAGATGAAGGTAAGGTGGTGGGTGGGTGGGGCGTTGACAGGGGTGGGGGGGCTGGGGGGGGGATGCTCGTGCATGTTACTTTTAACAGGCCAAATGTGACATTTTTTTAAGTTTATATCTCGAAAACAGTCCGCCTTTTCTCTGTGCCTTATCAGTTGCACACAAATTCAGAGTGAGCGAGTGAGTGTGTGTGTATCGAGTGAGTTGGTGATGGGAACAAATAGACAGTTGTTAGTCTTTGCCAGTGACCTAATGCGCAGGCTTATGGTGGGAGTGATGCAGCCCAGCCCTGCACTGGAACGACACAACATGTCACTGGGCGACTTCTTCCATTCCTCTTCACGAACGCGCCAATCCTCAAATAATGACATCATTCCGATAGTCATTTTCAATATATATTTTTTTTAACTTGCCGCCCCTGACTTGAGTTTTTCAAAAGCATTTTTTTTTTTTTTTGCAACAGGTCATGTCATTATTTGAAAGAAACACATCAGCGGAAGGCCGAGCGTCTCCGTCTCTCGCACCACATGATAGCGTGACAGCCGCGTTTAGAATCAAAGTGGCCCGTGTTCGGCGCGTTCTGGCTCCGGCCTGAGTTATGTGGACAGGCGCCCAGTCCAGACAGCCGCACACCCTTTAGTCCATTTCAAAGCGATGTGGACTCATGCTCTACTGTACCAACTAATGCTAACTGACTGACAACTGTTCATTTGCGACATGAAACAAACACGAGATGACTTGATGATGAGAGCTTTTTTTTGCTGTAGCCTCTTTCACTTCTCATTTCCCCGCGGCAAAGTGTCGCCGTGACCCAAAAGTGGAGGGTCACAATAGGGTTGGCTAAGGGATTGCAGCTCGCCATCAAGCCTGCTGAGGTCAGACGATATTTGCGCCTCAAGGCAGCCATTGGGTCGTGTTTGTGTACGTGCGTGCGTGCGGTTGGCATGTAAGCACTTATTATTGCGCCGGGGTGTCATTACAGAGGCATTGTGGGCCGCCGGGTCGAGTCTAAACAAACATTACAAGCATGACAGTGTTTTAATGGGGCCTCGGCGCATAAGAGCAGCACGTGTTTTCAAAATGAGCAATCCTTTCGGTCCAGTTTCGTTATTGGGTCACAGTGACCTCCCGAGCATATTTAGTGGGTTAAAAGGGAACAGCATGTGTCAACATAGCAGGAGAAATTGTCAGCGATGTCTCATGACTCTCTCCTTTCTTGTCCGGCAGAGATCGGGCGGGTACGCAAGGACATGTACAACGACACGGTGAACGGAGGCATGTTCAACGGACGCGACATGGAGGAGCTGCCCGAAGCCATCGGACCGGTGGCCCAGCTGCAGGAGAAGCTCTACGTGCCGGTCAAAGAGTACCCCGATGTGAGTGGGGGCCAGTGTGTGACCTTCGAACCGCTTTGCCAACTGTTTATTTTTCGCCCTTGGACACTTTTATCTCCTGGCGGTGGCGGGAGGGAGGGTAAAAAGTCAGTTGGGCCTCACTAGCCGCGTCAAAGCCCGAATGAAAACCCGTAAGGCCATTTTAGCCGATTAGAAGCCAAATTAAAAAAATATATATACTTTTCCAAGAAAAAAACTACACATTCAAACACAATGGTCAAGTGCGTTCATGGTGCCTAAACTGTGAAGTCATATGACGGAGAAGATTCACATGCCAGAAAAAAGAGAAATTAAGCAATTCCGAAAGTCATCGTGCTAATAGGAAACGAGGGCGTAAACTGTTATGTCATGTTCGGAAGGCAATTTCATTCCTGGAATAATGAGAAACAAATGATTTCTTAAGACCATTGTTTTGTTTTGTTTTTTTTAACTCATCCTGCCAATATGAATTGATCTGTGATGTCACACAAAAGAGACAATTTACATGCTAAGCGGTTTCTAAATCGTTGCACCAATAGAGAATGAGGTCATCAACTGTGATGTCACACATCGGACATAAATTAGTTGTTGGAATAATACACAATGAACAATTGTGAAAAAAAAAACACAAATGCTGGAAACCAATTAACTGCATGCCAAAAAATGATCAGGATCAAATTACAGTATTAGTTTCGCCAGTTTTGTTTACTGATAAAGGCTGATTATTCATGCAGCTTTAATCAGCGTGATGCCATCGCTCATCCATATTTATCGGCACTTAAAAAGGTGGATTAAGTCCCCCCCCCCCCGCCCTAAATATAAGACCCTATGAAGCGTGGGTGCATCCAGTACATCCTCGCGACTGCTGCCAAGTACAGTTAAGTACTTCAATATGAGTGTTGTTTATCCAGATTGAAGGGCTCACATGATTTTTTTTTTTGGGGGGAGGGGGGCAATATTTATTGTTTTTTTTTCTTTCTTTTTTTTTTTTTTAATCCCCTACCCTTCACCTCCCCTCCGCCAGCACCACCACGCATCAGCTCGCCAATCAGCCGGCACAATGACATGCTGTCCTCACTCACGTGACGGCGGGGCAAACGCTTGAGATCAAGGTTAAATTTAGAGGAGCCGTTTGGACTCTATTAGTGCGTGGGCACCCTTGTGAGTCAGAGGTCAGCGTGCCATCGACGTGTCGCTACTGAGAAAGTATTGTGTGTATGTGTGAGATGAGGGTGCACACATACACTCACTCACACACACACACACACGCACGCACACACACACACACACACACACACACACACACACACACACACACACACACACACACACACACACGGGGCAGCTGTCTTGTTAATCACTCAGTCCCCGTGACAGATAAGGTTAAGCGAGTGGCGGCGTCCTCTCATGCCGCCAAGCGCCCCCTTATAATGATCTATTTTTGGTCTGGCTTGGTAACGCAAACGCATCACACAAGCACACCGCCGACCCCAAATGAGCTCGAGTCATATGTGACCCCCCCTTTGCGTATGATATTTTTATTCTTTTTCCTCGCTTGCACAGTTCAACTTCGTCGGGAGGATCTTGGGCCCGCGCGGACTGACCGCCAAACAGCTGGAGGCGGAGACCGGCTGCAAGATCATGGTGCGCGGGAAAGGCTCGATGCGGGACAAGAAGAAGGTACCCGCCACTCTTTCACATGCTCCAGGGTGGTTTGCGGATCTGGTTTTATTGCATTGACTAAAAGGCCTCGCCTGTCAAAAGAGCTGTAAGGGACCGTTGTGGCGCCAGGGCTCCCCCTTGAGTCGTGAAGTGTCATTTAATTGCAGTAAGCCCACAGAACCTGAAAAAAAAGCCTGGCCAGTGAACCTAAGTGCTAAGAGGATACGTCATTGTTCATTCTTCTCTGTCATTGGACTCTGAATAGTACAGACGAGCGAAAAACCCGCAAATAATTGACAACCAACTCCCCTAAAAATCGATGCAATTGTCTATATTCATCATTTAAATCGTGAGTAGATCATTAACAGTGATTGCCAACATTAACCTTCAAAATAAATGGTATCTAGATGATTTTATTTTGAAATAAATCCACCAGGCATGCGGTTGTCCGTGTACAATATTCACCCTAACTTCCACTAAGAACCCAGGCTTAACCTTTGCTCCTCCCCTTGCCAGCCCCTAACAAAGCTTGCCTCTTATTCGAGATGTATCACGTCGAAATACTTCCGTGACACTTGCCAATTTTGACAGCGCTTTGGCAGAAAATAGATGCATTTGTGAATAGCGAACTGCGACTATACAATGTAGTACTGAATACAAAAGCATATCTGGCTCACAGTTCTGAGATTTGGATTTGGAATGTGGACCACCATTTTGCTGCGTGGAGTTAGCATGTTCTTCCCGAGCTTGCGTGGGTTTGCCAAATTCCAGAAACATGCATGTTCGGTTCAGTGAGGCCTCCAGATTGTCGATCGATAGATGTGAATCTGAGTGGATGTTCGTCTATTTGTATTTGTGTGTTGTTGTTTTTTTTTTTAAGGATCGATTAAGGAAAAGTTGTGAAACGTCCTTTTCAGAAGCTAAAGAATCCAATGAATGTGCTCAACACTAACACAATGTTTCTGCTTGTCCTTAATCGATGGCAGGAATGTGTGCACGCATTGTTAAATTACATTTACTGAAAGGAGTCACTTACTAAAACATGCGCCCCCACGCCCCCACCGTCCCGCCAGGAGATGCGACGCGTCATTTACTTTCAATTGATGGCCAGCGAACGAAGATTGTGACCGCTAAACAGAACACGCCTCCTCATGAATCATTGCGTGAATTTCCTAAAAGGAACTCCTTATTAAATTGGCACTAAAGAACAGTTTTGCCTCAGAGCTAGCCGAAGCAACAGCTGTAACACTCATTAAAATTTTAATAAACCAGTGTACATGAATTCAAATGCATTACGTTCAAGGTTAAAATGACAAATTTCTGGGTGGCGTTACGTTCATCAGAGCAATAGTGACCGAGCGAGGCCTCACTTCCTGTTTTCTCAGGAAGTACTGTGCCTTTGGCGCGCTCAAAATAATTGTAATGAGTCGTGTCAGGAGATGTCCAGACATCACAAGTCATGATTGCGTAATAGATGGATGTCAGAATTGGGCGAAAGTAAAAAAAAAAAAAAAAAAAATTCAATGAAATTGGAAGTTGCCTTCAGGGACTGTCTGAAATCATAGCTTTCCTCGCACTGTCTGTCTCTCTAGTTCTCTATCTGCAGAATGTAGTGAAGGGTTACCATGTGACTGTGTGAAATCAGAACTTTTTCTCACATCGCCGACCTCTCTCGAAAGACTGATCGGGCGTAGCCTTCAGAAGCTATCCCAAATCAAAGACTTCCTCACACTGTCTGTCAGTCTGGCTATTTGATCCAGAATCAAATCAAGCGCTGCCTTCAGGGACAATCTGAAATCACCGTTTCCCCCCCACAATATATATTTCTATATTTTAACAGAATGTAATCAGGCATTGGCTTTCGGGGCTGTTTGAAATCATATAGCTTTCCGCACTATTCATCGATCTATCGATCCATATATCTCTCTATTCTACACCAGCCACAATGTGTTTTTCGTTTCTTTCCTTGTCCCGCTGCTTAGTCCATCTGTCTTTCCTTCTTCTCCCCTGGTGTCTCCTCGCGTTGGATGGCTCCAGCTTTGCAAACGGCAAGTGGAGTGAGTCCAGCATTCCATGCAACGCCCCCCACCCACCCCTCTCTCTCTCTCTCTCTCTCTCTCTCTCTCTCTCTCTCTCTCTCTCTCTCTCTCTCTTTCGAACATTCCCTACCCCGCACACCCTCTGAGAGAGACGCACACACAGAGGAAGGAAAACAGAGACACAGTAGGAGAAGGGGGGGGGCGAGAGAAAGATGTTGACTTTTAGTGCTCTTCAAAACGATACATCTCACTTGACAAAACATTTCACCGAGTGGGCCGCCTCTCACCCCCGCCTGCACGCCCCACACTGCGACGGACGCTTTCGTAACTCCGTTTTCCGCCAGCGTGTGGTTGCATCAAATATTAATCTTCTATTACTTTTTTTTTTCCTTGGGGAGTTATGAAATATGAACTAGAGCCGAGACGCTAAAATTGCTCACGATTCCTTGCCTGTGGGCAGGATCGATGGCACGCTGTCGCGCCAATGTTTCGCTTGGCCTTGTTTATCAATGGGTTACTTTCTGCAGTGTCATGCCGTGCAACGCACGGCCCACGGGTAGGTTGGACCCAATTCCAAGTGACGCCGGGATTTACCATTTTATGATCACAATACAATAACCCTCCACCCATTCGCTGACGCGTCTACTTCCAGTTTCCTCTGTAGAGCCAAACTAGCCACTAGCGGAAAAAACTCCTGATAGCCAACCGGCTTAACAGCCAACAGCAGCGTGATGGAAGATTCCAATAGAGGCCCGACAAGCGGCCAAGGTTCTTTGTGGGGGTTGATGCCGGAGAAAGCAGCGTGGTAAAGTTACCAAGATGACGCTGAGAAAGCTTCCGATTGTTATTGGCAGTGGGAGAAGGTGGTGAACAGCTGATCAAATGCAAACACCTACCCGCCCAACGCATGGTACAGTAAGAGTCCTTTGCGAAACAATGAGCACATCCGGTCATGTCAAGGTCAAGTCTCCTGTGACAGAATGTACAGAGTAGCTTCATTGTTGCAAACGGTGGACTGAGATAAAGGACAAATAATGACGTGTCGCAACGATTGTGAGTTGTCAGAAAATTGCGGGAAGGTTTGGTGATTCGGGGAGTTTGAGAAAGTTGCGCAACTCCATGACAAGTTATTTCTTGTATCAAGTTTCCTTTGTTCTCTGGAATTACCGGTATGTCATTATCAACTCCTTTCTATTGTAGAATTTTATGTTGATTGCTCATCTTTGAACTATTTACTGGGAATCACAGTTTATTCTTCTTATGGATCTCATCTCTTCTTGGTAGAATCCAGTGTAAAATATTGATGAGGTTTTAAGGAATTGAAATGAGAAGGTTGACGCTTGTAAATTTAATTTCAATACGTCCCTGACACCAGTTTCACCGATCGACGCAAAATTGGGCGTACATGTTTCTCGTGGCAAGTCTCACTTAAAATGGGTCACATTGCCCTGCAACATAACAGGAGGATTAAAAAAAAAAAAAACTCCCCACAGCACATTACATGTCACTCGTAGGGTGTGAATGGGAAAAGGCCCACGCCGCGCATACTAACCGAGTGTGCTTGTTGTTCTCCTCCCTGCAGGAGGAGATGAACCGAGGCAAGCCCAACTGGGAGCACCTGAGCGAGGACCTTCATGTCCTGATCACGGTGGAGGACACGCACAACCGCGCTAAGATCAAGCTGCAGCGGGCTATCAACGAAGTCAAGAAACTCCTCATCCCCGCTGTGAGTATCCCAAAAGAAACGGGGATGAGAGTTTAGCATTTTGGTATGCACGGAAGGGCGGGGGGTGGGGGGGGGCTGTAGCGGATTGTCGGTCCAAAAGTGTGTGTGTGTGTGTGTGTGTGTGTGAGTATGTGTAAGGGGTTAGGGTAATTAGGGAACATGCACAAAAAGGGGTTGCCACGGCAACGCCGGGTTGTTTGAAAGGCTGCACGAATGAATGGCAAGTCTGTTCACTCGTCCTCCCCACTCCATCACTCCTTTCACTCGTTCACAACTCACTTCATTCCCAACGACCGGCTACAATATTACCCCCCCCCCACTTTTTTTTTCCCGTCATCGTTGTTGTCCGTGCACAAGGGCACATTTTGATTGGACTCCTCAGCATGGCTCACATTCTCCGGCGCCACCTACAATACATCTCGCCCTCCCTCTGGTGTGGAAAATTGTGCACACCCCCCCCCCCACACACACACACATAAGTGTATATTGTGAAATCACAAAGCTGCTTCCGCTTGCAACAACTGGGTCAGAAAGAAAAGACCAGCGGGGGTTGGGGGGCGGGGGATTCTATTGCAGCCGGGCCGAAAAGGTTACGGCCGTCAGGCGTCGTGGTCATCGGAAGCGGCAGCACCTGTTCATTCCATGGCAGTGCTCATGGGCAGTGCGCTCCGGCTCATGATACGTGTTGGCTTCACCCGCACAACTTTGCCTTGATGCAGTAAATCAGACAAGCTTCTCAGCGGCTAGTAACTGGAGCTAAGGTGCAACTAGCTTGTTGGACACGGAATAGTACAGACCGGGTGGTGTTGGTATGCTAGGGCGTGTGGGTGCCACGTGTTTCGCTGTTTGCAGTCTCCGACGATGACAGAACGTTGACTTGCAGACTCTTTTGGGCCAGTTGACGTCAACGTGTGTGATGTTCGGAGTTTTTCTTTTGTGAGAGTGAGAAGCAGCAGTGAGGCGGAAACCACAACAGCCAGCTCGCCGATATCTGCTTCCAACGTCAACAAATAAGTCAATGTTTTACCTCACATGATGAGGAAAGCGCAAATATGCTGCACTTAAACTACACTGCTGCACTTCCACTGTCACAACCTGACCCGTCTTTCTCAACCATTCTGAGATGACCGCACAGATTCCTTGCCCTTCGACCTTGACACTGACGTTGATTGAGATCGCGTGTGCCTTTGTGTAGGCTGAAGGTGAGGACAACTTGAAGAAAGTGCAGCTGATGGAGTTGGCCATCCTCAATGGAACCTACAGAGACGCTACTGTCAAGACACGTAAGGATCACAGCACAGGATGGGAGGGGCCTTTGCACAGGAGACCACTGTATATACAAACAATGGCTCTGTTTCTTGTAACATAGACTGTTTGTCCCTTCTTCGTCCCCTGTCCATTGTGTATACGCTTATGTGTGTGGGGGGCGCACACACAATCATTGTGCATCTTGTGTTCGTGTGTGTCCGGCAGCCACCGCCGGCTTCCCACTCGGCACCCCGCAGGCCCCTCGCATCATCACCGGCCCCACGCCCGTCCTGCCGCCCACCCTGCGCAATCCCGCCCCCGTGACCACGCCGACCCTCATGCCTCTGATCCGCCAGATCCAGAGCTCCGCCCTGGTGCCGGGCGGCAACCCGCATCCGGCGCTGGTGCCGCAGGGACCCGAGTCGGGGATCATCTACACGCCCTATGAGTACCCCTACACATTGACGCCCTCCATATTGGAATACCCCATCGACTCGACCGGCGTATTAGGTAAATAAACGCTCCGGCTCATCATGCTCCTACATGGACAATGGATGTATTATGAGATCTGGATGCTTGGTTCAAGGCATCAACTCAAACATTTAGTCAATGACATGCATGCAGAAATTGCACTTTGCTCTAATATACGCTCTGCCGTAAATTTCAGCTTTACAGATGCCACGTATGCCCTACAGTGGGTTGTGGACATCTATTGCGTGCACATATGGTGGTAGAAGATGTCATAGGAAAGGGATTTACAGCTACCATTTGAGGTGTGGCATGCATTTGTTCACCGGTGAAAGCTTTATCTTTAAATGCCACCGTTAACGTCGGCTTTACAGATGCCACGTCTGCTCTTGAGGCATTGTGTGTTGCAGCATTTTTTAATTCAAGGGGCAGCCCGTTCTCTTGAAACTCCGCTGTGAACTTCAGCTATACAGGTGCCGTGCATGCTCTGAAGGCGGTGTGTGTATTTTGTCATGAATTTGAGCTTTAGAGAAGCCAGATTTGCACTGCATTTGATTCCTCCGCTTATAATGTCACTCAACTTGATCAATGGCAAGAGATGACGATGGGTGATGGCGGGCCATCAGTGTCCAGCTCTCGTAATACATCCGTTCACGTGTAACCCTGCATGCAGAAGCTCATCGTCGGGCTAATAGTCCCTTCGTCCTGTGTTTTCGCAGGTATGGCTTTCCCAACCAAAGGCTAAGCGATTAGCTATCCATCTTAGCGCACATGGACTGGCTTGCAGAGACCCCCCTCTCCCCCAACCTCCCCGCCTTCCTGAACCAACACCCCAACCCCACCTCCCCCTTCTCTCTAAATGCTTCCAGTATGCTACGGAGCAAAGGCTCGCAGCTCGCTCACACTGTAGGACGACAGATCCCTCGCGCTATAGTCGAGTATCCATGGCTTCTTCTCGTTCGTGACATTCTATTAGCTGACTAGCGTGGTGGTGTGACACCTTCAATTCTAACCTTTTCTTTAAAACAAAAAAAGTATATCTATAGTTCCACTTGTAATTTTTAACACTTTTGTTCTAGTGTAGATGTTCTAGCGCGCTGTTCGTGATTTAATATGTTTTTTTAAAAGCAATTTTATTGATTCCAGTGCCTCACCAGCGTGATTTTGAAGCTATTAGTGAAGCTTTTTTTTTTTTTTTTTTTTTTTTTTTTTTAAATAGGAAGTAGCGGTTTGGATTAATCTTTAGAGAACAGAAGATCACAACACGACATGATTCTGTCCTTTGAATGGTTTAACCCTCCTGTTATGGATGAACACTTATCTCTTGTGTTTGAGGTGAAATAAGGAGGGAATGTGTATGTGTGACCTGAAATACAGTAGACAATGAGTGTACTGGATAATATTTGCAAGGAAAAGAGTTAGCCATTTCTGCCATCTCCCTTTTAGCCCGTTGCGTCGCTGCCGGGTCGATATATTTGATGGCGCATGCATGGAAGGGGAGGGGTTTGCAAATTATTTTTCTAATATATAAGAAAAATGATGAAAAGACTTGCGGAAGACTGATCTAAATCTCTAATCGTGAAAAGTCCAATGCAATAAAAATATATATTTAAAAAAAAATAAAGAATTAAGACCAGCATAAGAAGTTTGATCAGAATTTTTTTAGATTAAAAAAAAAAAAAAACTGCTGTTATTTAATTCTTACCAACAACGTGACTCGCTCTGTGTTTAATCAACGTATTATAAAATCGTATTATATATTTTACATTTATTTTTTTTGGACACAGAATAGAAAAAAACACACCTAGAGAAGTAAAATTTTAATCTAAATTTACCAAATAAAACCAAAATGTAGATTTTCCAAGTGATCAGTTGCACCCACAGCATATACCGGCAGTTTTGTGCACGTTGTCAATTCCCCCGGAAGTGGCCGCTGACGTGTGATGTGTCTTCTTCTGATGAGTAACCTTCTGTGTTCTGTTTTGGCCAACGTCGTCGCGCTTGTTAGCAGGTGCCATGACCGCTAAGGTACGCCGCCAAGACAAGAGAATCCATCCTTACCAAAGGGTAGTGACCACAGACAGAGGTTAGTTAGCTCACCAGCCACTTTATGTGTACGTGTGCGTGTGCGTGTTGTGCATGCAGACCAAGGGACCAGTGTATGTGCGTGTGTCTTAGCATGGCATGCCCAGCTCGGTGTCAAATGTGAAAACAGTCTTGTTGCAGTAAGGGTGAAATTATGGGAGGAGCCATGTCAAGAGGGAGGGCACGATGGGGGGTGGGGGGGGGGTGCGCGCGCTTATCTCTTATTCGATAACCAGGGCGGCCAATTTCAATTAGAGTGAATCACTCCATTCATGTGACTCCCTTCCTTGTGACTCCTGGACTTGGAGTCCCCCCCCTTTTTTTATGCTACTTCTTACTACCCAGCACGTCCGATGGGAACCTTTTATTTATACCTGATTTCATTCCACTCGTTCCCGCATTTCTTTGTTGGTGATCAAAAGTGTTGTGCCCGATGACTACACGCCACTTAGTCCCATTTTACTACTAAAACACAGCGTGTGATGACTACTGAAGTCTGTGTTCCAAGCTCTTTTTTTTTTTGTATGAAATACTGTTTTTTTTTTTGTGGTCTTACCAGTCGCCCACTGGACTTTATCATTGGGACTGTTTACATCTTTCATATTATATTACCTAGCCAGAGTGGTGCTGTTGCCATGTATTTAGCTGCAAAAGAGAAAAAGAAAAATACATTTGTATATAGGGATTTTAAAGTGCTTATATGAAGCTAATGGAACAAAATCGCTTGAAAATATTAGTGGTTTTTTTTTCCTTTTTTTTTTTTTTACGGTATGCTTTTTATAGAAAAAGTGTCTCCATGTAAAACTTTTATTCCGAGTGTGTAGCTCCTACTGTTCCCTGGAAGGCAGCGTTGTTGCTCTTGTGTGTGTGTGTTTTTTTTTTGTTGTGTTTTGATTGTGTTGTTGTTTTTAAATATGAGGTGACCTTCTCAATGCACAGGCCTCATGACTGTTTTATGCAATATAGACATGGACTAGCTAGCTGCAATATGTATGTGTGTGAGCAGTGGTGCTCCTGTTGTACAAAACAAGCAAAAAAAAAAAAAAAAAAAAAAAAAAAAAAAAAAAAGCACTAAAAAAGGCAATAAAGACGACTATTGAGAACAAAATAAATCTCCAAAGACAAACTAAAGAGCTCTAAATTCTTGAAGTTAGGCTGTCTATTTTGAATTGTTTCCTCTAAAAACAAACAAACAAATCACCATCTTTTAACCTCTCATTGCTGTCTCTTACTATGGCACCTCTCTGCTCACAGTAGCCATTAGCCGCTCTGCTAATACTTCCTAGCCAATGGAGCAAAGCATAATCAATATTAATAAGAATCAGTCAACCTTACTCGCAAATCTAGCTGCTTACAACGAGAGGGTCACGCTCTCACCCACATGAAACCATGCCGTCTGTCCGTGCTTACCCAAAGCGCACGTGGTGTGAAATCTGCAACGAGCAACCACACGGACAACTGACATGCCACAATCACAAAGATGTAATTTTTTTTTTTCAATGGCAACCGATGCGTACATGTCCAGTCACATCTACATCCAATATATTTCCCCCGCGTACACTTTGGGTAACCACAGCGTCTCCTCCTCTGCCTCATGGTTTCACCGTCTGGTAGCATGAGTAGCGACATGGTAGCGGCGGTCACATGACGCGAGGGGCGGCCAAGCATCCGCCCCCGGCACCATGTGCAACCGCCGTAGGGAGAAAAAAAATGCCTTGTTGTCATCCCGACGCCACTAGCTGAAACTAATCTCTCTTCTATCTTTTGTTTTTCTTTTTATGTCCCCTTCTGTGTGCCCTCTTTTTTTTTTCCGCTTCCTTTCCTGGTCTGTCTGTGTCCTGTCTAACTCTAGCTGCCACGGCAACTAACCCATGACACCTTTTCCACTGATGACCCCCCCCCCAGACCCCCACCCCACCCGTCTCATTGGCCAAATGCCCCCCGCCCCTTCCCGGCCTTGCCACTCTCCTCCCCTTCCCTCCGCGCCCCGCCCCTTCCCAACCCTACCCGGCTCAGCCAACCAGAGGCCGGCGCCGGGAGCGACCCTTCCATCTAACCAGCAGCGGATGGCGGCTGCAGTGCCGATAACCCAGCAGGGACGGCTGCCATCGAACTTTTAGTCCACGTGCCTTCCTCTCGCATATCGCCCACTGTCGCCATTGCAGGGGGGTGTCCAAACGAGCTCCTGCATAAGCAATAATTACTACTCAACTACTGAAGATGCTAATTGTTCTCACCCGGCCCTCAAACCGTCCACAGAGAGAGGTGTTGATATGATGCATTCTACTTCATTTCAACGAGCAACCAACTGCTAACATATTAGCATTTTGTTAGCATTAAGCATCTTTGTTGGGTGATAAAAATACCCAACCACGGAAGTCCTCATTAGAAACAGCGTCATCCCAAGGGAGTTCTCATACAAATCTGAAAACAAGCTGAAAAGCATGTTAGCATTTTTTCAATTCTCATTTTTACGGTGTGCTACTACAAGCCGGGATGTCAAATCCCTATTGATCCGTCGCAGTGCGTTTTGTACTCCGGTTGCTAACTTGCGATACTTGAGCTATACAACAGTTAACGTGTTAGCATTTAATAGCATATAAATAGAACCTGACTACAGAGTGAGATGTCAAAAACTTGCTAACCAGCCTCAGCCCTTTCTGTACTCATGGTGCTATCTTGCTATATGTTAGCGTGCTAGCATTTTATCAGTCTTTCTTACAAATAGCACCTGACTTCAGTTAAAACAGTTTCGCGGGGGGCTCATTTGATTTTATTTTATGAATCCTTCCTTCCTAAAAAACAAAACAAAAAAAAACCCAAAAAAAACCACAAAACTGAATAATTATGGAAATCAAAGCCTGAAATCGCACTCGTTTTCTTTTAAATGTCACTAACGTTTTAAAGAGTGCCTTTAATGAATTTTGTGCTTCCAATAACCTCGTCAAGTGAAGTAAAATGCCAAGGCGGATCCTCTCTCGCCGCAGAAAAGAAAGTGAGATCCAAAAAGGCCAAAGTATCACAGCCATCGGGTCAAGCGTTCTGATGCTTCTTCCGCGAGCCTGTGATTCAATACGCGGTGTTTAAATGCCACTACACGCACATGAAGGGAAGTTTGCACAACAACTGAACAAAAGTGCCTTGAAAAAAAATAATAATAAATCACCAGAAGTACATTTTTATTGGAATTTACCTCTTCCCGTTTAACTGCCCAATCCCTGTCCAAGTGCCACACAGTATTAAGCACTGATCTATATAAGATGTCTTTTTATGTATGTGTGACGATAGAACACTGTTTTTGTCATAACTAGCCCGCACAAACTATATTAACGAGCACGTGCAACACAGCCAACTGAGGCCTTGGTATCAAACATCGTGGGGTCGTAACACCTGTAACGAGTTTATATGTATTTTTATATGCCATTTTGTACATTAAATGACCTTTTCAGAGTTGATGCCTTACTATACACATCCATGCAACAGTGTGTCCTGAAATACTGGAGATGTTTGGCGTGTTAACTGGAGCCTCGGAGATGAGCGCCACCGCTTGCCTCTTGTGCCTTGATTTGATTTGAAGGTCTTTTTGACAATTAACAGTGTAGTTCCACATTAATCTGCCCTTCAGCGGGCCACTGTATAGGCTTTACTAAACTTTTCTGTGTTTAACCACTTAATTGTATCTGTCTATATGCTTTGTTGAGAGGGGTTCTTTAAAAAAAAAAAAAAAAAGGAAAAAGAGGGCAACGGGAATGATGAACTCTTTAACATTGTCAGTGGGAATAACGTTGTAATCATTAAACTCTTTGTGGTAAAAACTAACTAACTTTGTTGCTTCTCTCACTCTCTCTGTAGCACTTAATTATGCAAATAGGCTTCCTTTCTGCATACTAATCATCAAAAACAAGGCCTTTTCACACACGCACACACACTAAAAAAAAACCACACCCCTTTTAGATGAAATGCAGGGAAAAGGCCACAAATGTTCCATCCCACTTCCCCCCCTTTTGCCTGTCTTCTCACCATCCTGTCTCCCACTTGAGGAGGGCATTACACATATTTGTGCAATAAGAGAGAACAAAACACACCCGGCTCGCCATGGTTTCTCCAAGGCACGCACATGCATTCTAAGGAGGCGGGGGCCGGTGAGGGTGTCAGGTTTGGAGGTCTAAATGTCGGGGGAATATAAGGGAAATTGATTGCGCAAGCTCGCCCTAAAACATCTGCGCAGGATCACGGCGAATAGTGCAACTCCTACAACAACAGCCGGTCCAGCGACTCCAGACGAAGACAACTTTAAGGAAATGCGAGCATCAGGAGTAGAAAGATTTCATGTATGGTACCCTGACAGCGGAGGGCGAACCCCTGATTAATCTTTTGAGGATGAGACCTACATCACACACAAGACGATTAGTGGAGCTGAATTTTTAGGGCGAGTCATCCAACTTTGCCGACAACACAAAAAAATGACGATAATTCATGTGATTAATGTCGCCAAGCTGTCGAGTTTAAGTTCTTAAAATTTGGCTGCCAGGGACAAAATCTCTGGTAGTTTTTGAAGCCGAAATTGCCATAAAATAAAAATAAAATCGGCAGACTTCCTGCATCTTTTCAGGCAAGGCTTTTGAAGACTATTTTGTTGGTCTTTTCTTTTGGAATTTTTTCTAAAATTCCCAGGATCTGAAATGGTCAAAGTGACCGTAAAATGACTAAATGGCAGTCTTCCTGTCATTTCATACATTTTCTTGTGGGGCTAAATATGATAAACATGTCTACCAAATTTCATGTTGGCCTTGGATCGGGGGCTAAATTTTCCAAAATTCCAAAGGCTTGAATTGGCCAAAATGAGCCAAATATCAGTGCTTTGATCCAAAATGGCCGACTTTGTGTGCCTCTAGAGACTTTTTTGTGGCTCCACGTATAATTGAAATGTCTACCAAATTTCATGTTGCTTAGAGAACCTCTATTTTCAAAAAGTTCCCTTACCAAACAAAAAAATTTGATTGCTTTTTTTTTGGGGGGGGGGGAGGTATGGGAAAGCCCTCAAAGCTCAAAGGAGGACGAAGAAACTCCAAATTTCAAGAGGGGCCTTCTTGGCACAGGGTGCTCGGGCCCCTCGACATAAAAATATAGTCACATCACGCGCGCTTCAAACAAAGTTTCCCTTTAAATCCCAAAGTTAAACAACAACACAGCGTTTTTCCACGGTGAATGCAGCCATGGGTGGCTCATTCGTCCTCTGCCTGCCCTTCCTGCTTTCATTGTGGAGTTTTTGTTGGGGTGGGTGCTGAAGAGGGGGGTGGCGGGGGCTTGATATTGAACTTCAGGCTTGGAGTTGAGCCTGCTTCACCCC